AGAGATGAAGAAGTAAAAGATGATGAAATTCAAGAGTAATATATCGATAGCCAATATCAATAATCACAGTAAGGAAATAGTTTTATTCAAATTAGACAACTCAAGTAAAAAGAGGATGAGTTAAATAACTTCATCTAAAAGACAGGAGATGAGATGAATGATCTAAAAAATTAAATTTAAGAGCAAGAAGAAAAAATTAATATTTTGAATAAAAAAGCAGAAAAAGAAAAAGAAGTTGCTAAAAAAATGAAAGATTAGATTAGTACCCTAAGTTAAAAAAATAATAGGCTAAAGACTTAGTTACTATAATAAAAGCTAACAATTGATTAATAAATTTAGAAATTTTCAGTAGCAGAATAAGAAATATCTGATAAAAATGACGAAATAGAAAAATTACTATTTTAAATTAAAGAAATGGAATTGAAACATAGAAATTTGTAGATTTAAAATGAAAAAATCGAGTAATTTAAAGCCAACTTAAAATAGTAAAATTAAGAGAATGAATAATTAAAGGAGGAGCTAAGCAACTTAAATTAAGAAAAAGATAATTAAAATCAAATTATATATGAGCTAAATTAACAGAAGGAAAATTAGTGTAACATAAATCTAGAAAAAGACCACATAATTATTGATCTAAATGAGGAGTTAGAGAATATGAAAATTAATTTTGAAACATAGAATTAAACAATCTAAGAATTAACTAAGAATTATGATTAATTAAGTCAAAATTATGATGCATCCAAATAGTAATTAAATAATGAAATTAAAACAAAACAAAATGAAATGATTTCTTTATTAATTGAATTAGATGTCTTTAAACTTGGTGATACTATTATAACTGTAAATGTGAAAAGTTTTAGTACAAATGTAAGTTAAACCTTCTAGATGTTATTAAGGGATAGTATCAGTGACCTTTACATACTGGCAGTTTAAGAAGGAATTCAGTATTAAATTATTTATATCTTAGCAAAGGATCACCTTTAGATTGTTGTTTATTTGTGCCATCTAAAAATATCAGATATGCTTCATCTGAATGGAATTAAAAATTCTAAAAAATTTTCATACCAAGTGATTACACTAATGAAACACTAAAACTAGAATTTAGCTAGTCTAGATGATTTGATAAAATGATGTTCAAAAGAATATATATAATAATTATTTTATTGGTCATTTTCATCTTATTAATATCTTATTCTAAATTGATAGTTTCATCTCCTTAAAAAAATAGAAGTTAGCCTCAGATTTTTGAAATCAAAATTTAAATTTTGCCATCTCGGAAGTGATTTCAATTCAGATCAATATATTGAGAAAAAGATTAAAAGAGATTCATTAGGAACCTCAATTAATAACATTACTTTTTTTGAGTTTTCGAGAAAATTAATTAAATACATTGGATTATAGGATTACTCGAAAAAGAGTTGCTATATTCAAAACTTAAAGTTATCAATACTAATATCTTATTTTATTAGTAGTTTCAAAAAGTTATAATGTAATATGAAGGAAAATCTATTAAAAAGGAATTTATTCTATTGTTTCAAGTAAACTTATTTCTAGAAGTAGAAGAATGGGTATTAGTTTGTTTTAAGCATTAATAATAAAAGAAAATTTAATAAATGCAGATATATTTAATTATCATTATCATTTTAGGTTTACCAAAAGGAATTAAGCAAAAGAAATTCTTTGCCACATTAAAATTCTTGATTTTGAATTAATTCAAAAATATAAATAATATTTTACAGTAACAAGCAGTATCAATAATCCACATTAATTATATAAAACAATTTGGATAAATCATAAGAATTAAAATAGTTCTTAGTCTAAATAATAAACAGTAGATAGATTTCTCTTTTAAACTCGACTTAATCTTGAGGTAGAAAATAAAAGCTCTTTTGAAGACTAGTTAGGCAGTTTAAAAAAGAAATTTGATTAATGTGACTGCAATCGTTTCAAACTGAAATAAGCAACAGGAGAAGGACTTAAATGAGCAAAAGGTGAACTACTTGATTAAGAATGAAAGAAATGAAATATTAAAAATTAATAAAATATGATGTTCAATTGTTGTATAATGATTTATAATCACAAATTATATTTCTATTTCAAATATTCGTATTTCTACAATTGGGATTTCAAAGTCTCTATATCATCCTTATCTAACATGGGCACTAAAGATTTTGATTTTTCAATGGGTTTAGATTTCTCTTATTCTTTAATCTCCTTTTTGCTATCCATAAATTAATATATTTATATGAGTCGTATTTTAAAGAATAGTGTAATCTCTCCTATGTTTAAACGTAAAGAGACATTGACATTCGATCATAGGGATCAATCTAGGAGATCAACCAAGCGATTTCACTCTGTTGTTCCAGTAAGGAAATTGGTATCCTTATCAACTCCACATATAAATTTGACCCATTAAGGAGAATCACGTTTTGAAAGAAAACTAAAGGAAAAATAAAAAACAATGATCACCCCTGGGACATAACTCAAAAATGATCATGGTTTATAAGATTATTTAGACCATTTAAATTCTGTGAGAATTTTCAGGTCTCCCATGGAAGATGATGCGACAATCAAAAAAATTAAAGAGGAAGTTCAGCTATTTTAAACTGAAAGTCAGACTACATTACAAAGATTCAAATCTTTAAAGGAATAAGGAGAGAAGCGTAAGAAGGTAAGTTTGCTGGAAACAGTCCGTAACCCCTTGGCCTAATAATATAAAAAGTTTACTGAATAAGTATATAATCTGATTCATAATCTCCATTTGTTGAAAGTATAAATTTATTTTGAGTTAGGATTATTTGAACAATTCTAGAAAATTGTTTCAAGTTGTAAAAAATTTGATAGGAATGAAGAAAAATCTGTATCCAATCTTAATAAACCCTCAAACAGAGGAATTATATGAATTCGCAGAGATTTCCCGTCTTTGTTGTATAAGAGATGTTCAATTTATTAATGGTGAATAGCGAGTGATTGAGAGGTTTGATTTATCTTTGATGGATGATTTAATTTATATGTCAGATTCAATAAAGCACTTGTTACAATAAAATTAGTTGAAAGCCATAGAAAGGATGCGTGATAATGTATAAATATATATTATTGTAAAAGATCAAAGTTGAAAGATATGAGATAAATAAACTTAGAGGTTAATTAGGAATGAAGGAGGAACATCATTAATTATCAATAGGAACTTCAGCTATGCAGAGATTTAAACCTCATTTGGAATTGGAAAGCATTGAATCTAGATTAGGTTTGCTAAATTAAATTCCTAAGTAGGCTAGATGGACATCTTAATTGCTCTAAGATATTCTAGATAGATTAAATGAATGAGTTATATATTGATTACATTTATAAATTGAAATTTTCATAATAGAAACAGTAGAGATGTTGAGGAGGATCCTTTTTGAAAGTTTGGGAATATAATGATGAGTTTATAATATAAAATTAATGAATTTGCAAATTTAGTTAGAATTAAAGTTAAAAGATTTTGAGTATAGAAAATTGTAATAACAATTAAATGCGATGAAATCAGTTGTAGATGAAAAAGCAATGAGGTTTGATTCTATCAAAAAACAATTGGCTGAAACTTTTAGTGCTCTGATTAAATATGTGCAATTAGAATTATAAAATTTAAAAAAAGAATTGCTAACTCTCATTAATACTCAGAGAGAAGAAATAATTCAATTCTAGAATGAATAGATTTCTCTTAAATACATTTAGGAATTGGAATTGCTAAATTAACAATATTATGAAGAAAAGGAGCAATTTAAAATAAGGATAGATAAATTGACTCAATAGTTAATAGAATCAGAAAAAAACGAAGTTTATTTGATGATGCTAAACACCAAGTATTTAAAAGAGAACGAATTATTAAATCAGCAACTGTTATCGAAAAGCAGATAAATGAGTTAAACAGAACAAAATTTTTATCCAAACAAAACAGGATTCATATCAAAATTTTTAAATAAATATACATGAGAAATATTTTAATCACTTAGTACACATATATATATAATGGTGTTCAATATCATTGAATTATTCTATTTTAGTTTTTTCAATTGGAATGATTTAAATTTTGAAGAGCTTTAGATATATTGTTCTGATATCTGGATGCCCATATGATATAATCATAAATGTGCCATTAGGTTTCAAGATTCTGTAACATTCACTCAAGTATTTTGAAACTCTTTCGAAAAAAGAGGATCCACTCATCAAACTATCTAAAAGGCATTTATCAATTATAAAATCAAACTCTTCGTCTTCAAAATCGATTTTTGTTGTTACATCCATCAAATAATAAGGGATTGTTTGTTGTTATTTCTACCTGATTAAAACATCGCTAAAATCGACACATCGAATATTTTTAATTCCATCTAATTGCATGTAATCTTATAATTAGGAATTCCCGCAACCAACATACAATATCTAACTGATATCAAATCTGCCAAATAAACAATTATGAATAAAAGGCTATAGTGTAGAATAAGTTTGAAGCCATTCAAAAAATTTGTCCTTCTACTTAGAGTATCTATTGTTCCAATAATCCACACTTGAAAAATCAGGGTATTCCGTAGATAAACTTAGTTCTTTGAACATTTGTTAAATGATTGAGTTATTCTAAGTTAATTTCTCTGCCTCATCAATAATATCCGAATGGTTTAATATATTCGATGGCTATTATGAAATCATATTTAAAATATTTATATATCAAAACCGATATCCTGGAATACTTGTGGTAGGAAGAGTTGGTGCATTACCAAACAATGTTTAAGGATTCTCACTCTTTTAATATGTCTCCTGTAATTGCTAAGCTTATTCACATTAAAATTCAAATATTTATTTTTAATATCCTTCGACAATCTTAAAACCTTCCTAAGCACTTTCGAAAAGGATATCTTGATAATGCTTCTTTTCATCTAGTGGTACATTTGGTCTATTGATTATATCACTGATTGTTTAACTACAACCTGGAAAGTTGTTGGCATTCAATAATTCGTGAGCTGTATTAAGTTTCAATCTCAATTCCGATTGAGTATAATCCATCTTATCAAGATGATTTAAAGTAAATTTCAACTATTAAGCCACTATCAATTTTTGGAATTCCATTTGAAGTGCTAACTAAATCATTAATACTCTAAGTATACTTCAACTTATTCTTAATTGATGTTAAATCCTGGAATCGAATGACTATTTAATAAATAATGACTCTTAATCAGAGAAACATAGTTTGAAATCAGGACTTGTGTTGTAACATTTCTAACCTTCTCAAATGGTATCATCTCTTCTGGAGAATGTGCATAATGACACATTTCTTAATATCTGCACGTATTATTGCTGGCATATTTGCATAATGTGGTTTTATAATTATGAATTCCCAAACTGCCAGAGAAGTAAACTTATAGAAGCTTTGGATCCTATAAATTTTGACTTGGTAATTGTGGCAACGGCTAAATAAGTACATGAATATTTCTAATACATCATTTGGATTACGCAATTCCCTTTCTCCATGTGCAAAATGACATCTTGATCCAATACTGCAGTTCCCTGTTGTTGTCCAATGTTTACATAGAGAAGTTTTATATTTAGGATTCATCTGGGGGGGAACCATCATCGCCATTTTAATAAAATTATTATTATAATCAAATTTTATAATATAATCCAAATTATTTAGATTTACATTAAGTTTAGAGATTCAAGATCTAAAATATGAACCTAGAGAATAAAATATTCAACAGTTATTATATTTATCCATGAGGATTTGATAGATAAGAAAATAATGAAATAAAATAAAAACGCGAAGAAGTTTTCTTAATAAAACTAAAGCAGCTATTAAAACTTTGAAAAAAGAAATTCAAAGGTTTAGCAATAAGTACTAACTGACCTTTGTTATCTAACTTTTTCTTTCATGAGGCATTATAAAATCATCTAAACCCGTAAGTGGCACGAATGAAATTAAGAATAAGGATCTTGGGTCAAACAAGTCCATATATAATGAGAATTTTAACAAATTTCAACATTATAATAAAAATGATTCAAATTTCATCTTGAACTATATTCATCTTTGAGAATATCAACAAATTCATTTTTATTGACAAACCCTTTTTTTAATATTGCTGTGTATTTTTGATTTAATTCCTCCTCTGATTTTGTAATTCCAATTATTTATAATCCCTATATGATGGAATTAATCTTGACAGTTTTATCATTAAAAGTATCAAAGTGTTCAAATATTACTTCATAATCCGTTGTATCAAAGAATTACTAGTTTTTATGATTTTTAAGCGCATCCAACAAGGTCTTTCTTGGTTGATTGCTCATTTCAAATATTAATTATGACAATAATTCCTTATATATAATTTCAAACGTTACTTCAAACAAAAGGGATATTTTATGTTTCTCTAAGTATGATAAAGTTTCTTAAATTTGATCTTTTTAAATTTCATTGAGATGAGGATTGTTTTAGAATAGTTTTTCTAATAATTATGAGGCCATTTTATTATTTAATTTTAATAATAATGATAATTAAATTACAAGACTATTTTGATAAGAGTAAATTGATTCCAATCAAAAAATTAGAAATTTGAATTACCATTTCACTTAATTTTATTCAGAATACTAAAAATTATTTTACATTATTAAAATTAAATTGAATACTCTGTTAATGTTTCAACAAGACTCAAAAAACATATTTTATTAATAATAATCATGGACTAAAATAACAACTTTAATCAATAGATCTAAATATACTAATCATTATTCTTTATTTATGGAAATAAGTGGTTTTCTAATAACCATTCCTTCTCCCATTTTTTCAATATTGCTAGATTGAATTGTTGGTTCGCCATATTTTATAAATCTCATAGCTTTTTTATGTTGCTAACAGCTTCTGCTTAAATTATTAAATTATTAATTATTAATATAATGAAATCATTTATTTAATGTTATTCTAAAGAAAAGATTTAACAGGTCGATAAATTAGGTCAATAGTTGGAAGAATAAAATTAAAAGCTGTTTAAAGATAAATCAACTGTTGATTCAATCAAGTTTGATCTTGATTCAATACAAATAAAAATAATCAATTAATTTTATGAAAAAGCCCAAGAAATGGAAAAATAATTCTCACAAATTGATTAAACCTATGTAATCTCTCTCTTATTTTACTTAGGAATAATTATTGCTCTTAGAATAGAAACTAAAGGATCAGCTTAAGTGAAATGATAATTTATAATTAATATATATTAAATTAATCACAAAGCAAGCAACCTTAACGATTAAAGAATAACTCTTCAATCTCAGTACTTAAAATTATGAATCTCCTGTGAAATCAATTGACAAATCTAAGAACATTTTCCTAATTCTTAATTCAAATGATAATTGAAATATGATTTGCCTTACATATTAAATTCCACATTAGCTAACATAATTCAACACAAAATGCTTCTTGCATTAAATGAAACTTAAACATAAAACTTATAATCGAAATTTAATGAAAAATTTGATTTAATTCATGGACTTGATTTTTCATTTTTTTTACTCCATTTAAATATCAGGAACAGCATACTCTTTTGATTTCTGCTTTCCTATAAATTAATCTATTGTTGTATTAGAAATAATACTTGAGAAGCAGAATGATGCTTGGCTACTTTTCGGCATCTCTTCAAATACAAATTTTAATGCTGGCACACAGAAAGATTTATTCTTTATTATCATTTCTTCTTCTAATTATAAATTTAACTCTCTATATGTCATTGCTCCAACCTAAGTTTGGATTACATTGGTTTTCAAAGGAATTTACTAATAGGGCTCCTATTGAAATTCATCAGAACATGATAAAATTAATTCCTCATCTAAACGTTTGAATTCTTAGTCCTAGCCTATGATTGTATTCAAATTCTTTGTAGATTTCATATTAATTATAATATTAATTTAAAATTATTATAACATGCCATTTATACTGACATTTTTAACCCCCATCAAATTTAATATCATTTCCATAAAGACCATAATAAACTAAAAAATATTGTTAAAATCAAATAAATCACATCAGACCTTTCTTCTATAAACAATTAAATATTTGTTCCTGCATACAAAAATAAAATCCATTTTTATAAATACCCTGGTGAATTTAAAACGCTATATGCATTAATTTGGATATTTCTCTGCCAATACCCCAATTCAAAATTTCATAGTCTTGAATTGGGATAATTTTCAGATGTTGATTGCAATATTCATAAACCTTAAAAGAATAAAGGGATTTTTCAAAATCCTCATCCGATTGCCTTTGAGAATAAGTTAGTTTTGCATTATAAATTGGAAAAGTATCACTATATTCTGTCAGGTAGAAGATAGTTGACTATTGAAATTATTAAGCAGGTTGTATAGTAAGACTAGTATTTGTTTAATATAAAGTCTTTATATTAATTAATTATTATTAAAATTTCTCCAAAAATTATAATAAACTTATCTACTCAATTTTCAAATTATTAGGCATGATTTAATTAATTTAAATAATTGATATAATTTAAAGTTATTTGATCTTGATTTAATAATTAGATTCTACTATTCATCAATAATTACAAAGATAAAGAAATGTAGGTAACAAAGAAAGTAAATGAATAAATCAATTATATTATTTCAATAATTTACATAAGGAAGATTTAATATTAGTATTTAAGGATTCATTTCTATCTATTTTAATCTTTTATTTGAAACTGAAAATAAATGTTTAGGATTGCTCAAAATTCCTTAAGTGATTCTAGCTTATAACAAATTTTAATTAAATGCAATAGGTCTTTTAATAGAAACTTTTGAAATAATAATTTATCGTATGGCTTATTCTCTATTATTAATATCTTATGATGGTATTTTTGTATCACAAGCCTATATGAATTTATTAACTTCTTTCACAAAATAAACATTTATTTTATCATCTTAGAAGATCACTTTTGGAGAAATCTTCTTGGACAACGATCCTTTTTTGATTATGTTATTCTCTTGAAAATCTCTTTGTGAAATTTTATTGATTTTTATGAAGTAGATTTCATTATAGTGTCACCTAAGCCTTGAAATACAGTTTTAGGTACTTTTTTTGTGTCTATGCTTTTTCGGAGAGTCTTATTGATTAGAAAAATAAATCTTATCTTGAATCTAATTAACATCTTGCTAATTAAAATTGATAACTTAAATTGAAGAATTCCTAGTTTAATTTGAAGACTAAAGACTAATTTGTTTCTTAATTTCAATGTCAATGTGGTCCTTGTTCTTTTACTATTTAATAGTTTATTTTATCCTTAAGAATATTTCATCTAATTTAATAATAATCAATTATAAAGCAACACAATAAATATTAAGTATCTATTTGATAAATGTTGTTACTATTCACTTATTCCGATTAGATGGTTATAAGATTTATCATTAATAATAATTAAATAAAGCTATAACCTAGGGCTCCTCACAATTTATGTATAATTTTTAATCATATACTTAATTTAGTAGTTTAATGTTTTGATTTTTTATTGAAGATGATCATTAAATATTTGATTGAAGAGTAGATATTTGTTATACTTATACATGAATTTCTACTATTTAATAATTTCTTTAACCAAAAATAGAAATGAATAAAACTGAAGAATTTATAAAGAAATAGATGGAATGATCTTTTATAGTGAATATTACTAAAATATTAAAAACGTAGTTATGTAAACAACACAAAAATATTCAATAATTCTTATCTTTCATTTATTGTTTTTTTCTTATTAGTGTTTTTTGAGGATCTTGAATAATAAGACCAATGAGGCATCTTTGATTTAAGTTTCATTTTTTGCCCCTGTGAAGACTATCTTTCCTGAATAGAAGATGAGGGCAGCAAGTTTAGGATTTTACATCTTATAAATCAATCCAGGGAATGCTGATCGCTAAGAGAGATTAATTAAAATGTGTACATCATAGCTGATAGATCCTTGTAAACTTCTGTCATCATTTATTTTCATCAGATTTACTTCATAAGGCAATTGGCTGTTGGCTACTATGTTACTTGTTTATATATCGCCTATTTGTATACTAATCCTGTTGTTCTTCTCTATCTGTTTTTTAAACTTTAAATAAAATGCTTTTTTCAAACTTTATTAGCAGCTTCTTCTGCCTCATTCTAACCTTTGGTACCTGTTATCACCATCTTACCAGCTTCAAATATCAGGGCAGTTGACTTAGGATCTTTTATTCTCTGAATCAGAGCAGGAAATCGACCTAGATAATTTAAATGAATATCTACTTTTTTTGTATTCACAATTTTGAGATGTGTGAGCCAGATTGTCCAAATCCAGTTTATCAATATCTTCTCCTGTCTTGGTCTTCATTTTCAGGATCACTGTGCTGACCACATTCTAGATCTTGGGTTCATATGACTCTTGTAATTGATGGCTTTTTTTTATTTGTGAGTATTCCTATTAAATTAAATAACAAAAGATCACTTTTTCAATTTCCTTCTTCTTTTCCTCAGTATATTCATGAACATCTGTCTTGTTTTTCTTAATATGTTTTGATTTTTTAGAAATCTAAAAAAAAATATAATGTCAAGTGATATTGAGATAATATAATCGTAATTTTAGTATTAAAATAGGGTTAAGTTACCTAAGTGTTCTCCGAAGGCATTGAGGAAATAAAAGTTAAAAAAATTAATTTAAATATAGGAAAAAGATTTAAAAAGCCCCTCTGGCTTAAGACTGCCCAAAATTTCGGATGAATTCTATCGTTATTTAGCAGAATCATTAACTTACACGTCTTAAATGATTATCTCAATGACTAAAAGATAACAAAATTTTCGATTTAAAAAGAATTTAAAAAAATGTATTTATTTATTTAATTAACATGAATTATTACAATTCCAAAACTCCCTATTTGGATGAAATCATGGTATGATAATCCTAGGCAATTTATATATAGTTTTGCCTATTTACTATAATTAGATGATAATATATGAAACTATTACTGTATGTTATTTGTATGTATTATTAATATACTATTGTTTTCATGATCAATCAAACAATCCTCCCATATCAACATCCTCTTCTGGTTCTTCAGCTTTAGCTGGGGCTTATTAAGCAGCTGGTTTTTATTCAACTTTAGCAGCCACTGGAGCAGCAGCAACTGGTGCATTTGATTATTTAATTTGATCAAAGATGAATCCCACTTTATAAACCGATAGCTGCTAAATCTTTGAATGCATTTGCCAACACATATGGAGCTGAAGCTTCATTGACCCAACCTAAATTGGTAGTTGAAATGAATCATACCATTTGACAAAGAAATAGCTGAAATATTTTAGACATTTTATTGGAATTTAGCCAAAATGTCATTCAAGTTGACTGATACCTATTATTTGTTTAAAATTGATCCGTTATCGTAACAAGAAAGAACTTCCATACTAAAAATATAATTGTTTAAGTTACCCATATAAAAATGGCTTCTTTCCTAATTTCTACAATAAGACAGCTTAAGATTAACCAACCTTTTAGCCTGTTTTCAAGACAACAAAGTCTTTGGTGATTTAGATTTAACCCTTTTCAATTTTTGTTGGAATTTAGAGAGCATGGAAGAATTGAATTGAAGCTGGGTCCATACCTGTTGGGCCAGGTGGGATAACGACATCAATTGGAGCAATAGCACCGACTCTTGCTGGGGTTTCAACTTTATTTTCTTCGATAATTGGCTTGAGATCAAAGACTGGAGTATCTGTAAAGACAAATCCGACTTTGCCTGCAACTTAGTTTTTCAAGGAATCTAACTCTTTGATTGCATTGCCGAATTTTCTCAAGTCTTCAAAATATTCATGGGTATCTGGCAATTCTTAGACTCTTGTAGCCAAGACTTTTTTGAAGAGAGTCTAGAATATTTAATAGGTCATCTTTACATTCTTGCCAATAACTAAGAGGGCATTTTTCTTAGCCAAAATTCTTCTAATGTCTTACACTTATTTTGATCCGACATTTGCTAATCCAACGATGATGACTTGAGTGTATTTAGACAACAACTCATAAATCTTTCTAGAGAAAGATATCAATCATTTACTTACTTGAATTATGCTGGCTTCTTATCCCTTTTGTTTCCTTTTTTGCCCATTTATTATTTATTTAAATTAAAAAAAGATTTCAATTTTTTTTGATAAACTATTTAAGTATATATATATAAATTTCATTATTTCTTAAATGTTCTATTCACGGTGCTATCTCAAGCCACTTTATACGCTTTCCTTCCTTCCATATCCCGTGTTTCTAAGTGCCATCTGCAAATACAAACAAGCCTTAACCATGTTGCTTTCCATCACTCCACATTCCATCGTATTTCTTGCCATCCGCCCAATAATAAATTCCATGTCCATCCTTTTTATCATTCTTATACTCTCCTTCATATTTTCTACCATCCCTCCAAGTATAAACTCCATAACCATGCATGCAATTATTCTACCATTAACCATTGTATCCTCGACCATCAGCCCAACAATACACACCTCTGCCATTTATTTTGTTATTCTACCATTCTCCTTCATAATATGAGCCATCAGGCCATTCATATTTTCCATGACCTTGCTTTTTCCCTTGATTATATTGTCCACAATACTTGGATCCATCATTCCACACTTCTTTCCCTTGGCCATGCTGAAGATCATCCTTCCATTCTCCTTCATATCTTGATCCATTTGAATGCTTATATATTCCTTTTCCGTTAGCCTTGTCCAAATCCCATTCCCCTTCGAAGATATCTCCATCGACATGATAGAAAATACCCTTGCCACAAGCCCTGTTATTTTTCCATTCCCCAACATACTTAGCACCGTCACTCCAAATTTAAGTGCCTAAACCTTCCCTCAAATTTCCCTTCCACTAACCTTCATATATTGCCCCACTCTTAAACTGATATGGGCCTCTCACCTCTAATTAAGCATCATTCCTCTGGGTAGGTAGATTTATAACTTCAAAATTTTCCTGCATATAGTTCTTATTTGCTCCTTGTATTGCATTTTTTTAAACAATCTTCAATTTATTTTATTATTTCCTTTTTCGAATTAAATAGCCTCTATATCTGCTCTATATTTTGATTGCTGCCTTAATTGAGTTTGAATTGTCATTACACAGTTCATTAAATTTTCCCAGCTCCTATTTGTTTGAACTGATTAATGAAACCTGTTTATTTATAAGTCTCTTATCCTATTCTTTGCTAAATTGATTTGGTTCGCCAGTTTGCTTATTACTTTTTATTGATCCTCTCGACTAATGAATGCTATTTTTTATCTCTTTATTCTCTAACTTACAATTAAATGACATAATACAACTACTATCTCCTTCTCCTGCAAGCTTGCCTTCCCATTATTACACTCACACTAACCACATTGATTGCCCATTACCTTTCAATGTGAAAATTTATTAAAATTATTAATCAATTATTCACCTATATATATTGATTATTTTGGAAATTCTTCAGGTTTTTCTATAGATTTATCATTCCAATTCATCCAGATCAAAATTTCCTGCCTTAACCATAACAGATATTAAGAGAGAAATAATTTAAATCTCATTGAAAGCAATAATATTGCATCTCTTTATAAGGGCAAAAGTATTATAGTTTCGACAAATTTAGAATCAATCTAAAAGTTTATCTTACTGTAATTTTGGTAAACTTTTTTAGCAACCCATCCATTGTATATTCATGTATCAAAGAAAAAATTGTACATTTAGACTTCCCCATTAGATCCTACTGGATCATTTTGAATTTCATTAAGTACCATTCTACTATGCACCATCACATATAATTCTCTGGCTTAATATAGATCATAGTTTACTAAAATCCAAATTAGTTTTCATTAGTATTTATAAAAAAATGTAATCCTTAAAATTAATTGAAACCCCAAGATTATTAATTAACTAAAGAATAACTCCATATTTAAATCTACTATTAAGAGTATTCGAAACGAAAGTAATACTTATTGATATGTTTGGTAATTAAATTTGTCTTTTTTAAACAACAGACGTTATGTTTTATAAATTTTTGGTTTAGCACTATTATCCAAATTACTTAATCTTAGAGAACCTAGATATTTCCAGATGCTCCCCATGATCCTCAGCAGATTTATAAATTACATAAGCAGCCCTACTTGATTACTGATATTAAATCTATATAAAATCAATTATAATCAATACAATACAAATATAACCTGTAAGAATTTTGTATATTTTAATTTAGAATACCTTTCATTTGGTTTCTTTAAATAACTCCCTTCAAAAGAACTTATAACTATATTCCAATATAAAATCAATATTGTTTTAGGTAATGAACCGATTCTTAGTGTTAAGAACCAATACTATGTAATTGACATGTTTAGAAATAAGAGCTATTTGAAAAACATTCATTCTACAATACTAAATCTCTTTATATTGTAAAGATTAGAACGATACATTAAAATTAAGTAGATTCACCTTTACCTGAGAGATATTGGGGTTTGGAAGTGAAAGAAAAAAATAATATTATTATTTCAACTTAAAACAATATAATTATTTTTAATCATCGAATATGTCTTAATAATTTTAGAGTCAATCTATGTCCATATTGGGATATGTGCCTGCTTTGGTAGTGCAGCATCTTTTGAATCTAAAAATGAATAAATTGTTGAGAAAATTACCAGAGAAGTAGAGAATAAGAAGTGTTGTGATGTTTGCAGATATATCTGGATTTACGCGATTAACAGAACTATTAAGTTAATTGGGAACTGAAGGGGCGGAGCGAATAGCATTTGCAATTAATCGCTATATGGAATTATTGGTTTAAGGAATTGGAAGAAGTGGTGGTGATATTTTCAAATTCGCAGGAGGTACAAAAGTTTTAAATATCATAAGATGCTATGATTGTTATCTGGCCTCCTCCTCCAAATGATCAAAACTTTCAGCAGAATTTAGAAACTCTGCTTAAATAAGCCATTTAGTCCGCATTGTTAATATAAGAAAAATTAACAAAAGCATAGATCGAATAAGGCATATAACTAAGTGTAAAGATCGGGTTCGGAGTAGGAGAAATGAACATAATACACGTCGGAGGTGTTTTCAATAGAATGGAGTATTTGGCAACTGGAGACCCTTTGATCTAGGCATTTCATTCTGAACACTGTTTAACTGAGGGTGGAAAAATCATCATCTCTTAGTAGATTTATGATATGATTAACAATTTCTTCGAATGTTAGAAGGTAGTTGATCATGAAGGACACTACGAAGTCATCAAATTATAATAAGCCAAAGTTAAGATGAAGGCAGATGCACTTTTAATCAAAAATAATATCACCTTATCATAATTCCAAATGATTAGAAATGAGATACAATCTTACATCCCTGCTGCTCTTCTGCCTTATATTGATATAAATGAAGAAGCATGGAGTGCTGAATTGAGGAGATTGTCTATAATGTTTGTAAACTTAAAAATGGATTTGAATTCTGCAAAAAATGCTTAGGGATTGGAATAAATTTAAAGAGTCATTAAAACTGTATAAAAATGTATTTATATGCATGAAGGATCATTAAATAAGCTATTAATGGATGATAAGGGTTCAACTTTAATTGTTGTTTTTGGTCTTCCTCCTCTTAGTCACTAAAATGATCCTGTCAGAGCTATCTTAACAGCATAATTGATGAACAAAGAATTGCCAAAGATTAATTGTGGCTGCTCTATTGGAATTGTTACAGGCACTGTATTTGCAGGAGTAGTTGGTACAAGTGGTTCAAGAAGAGAATACTCTGTTCTTGGTGACTCTGTAAATCTTGCAGCTAGATTGATGCAGGCAGCTTGTTCAGAGACAACTCACAAAATTCTTATGTGTTTAGAAACTGCAAAGAGTGCTGGAAATTGTATAAGCACTGCCTTTTTGAGATAAACTTAAGTTAAAGGCAAGAATGCACCTGTTCATATTTATGTGCCTCTTGATAAATTAGTGGAACCAACACAGGGTAATTTGTTACCCAATTTCAAAACTCATAACTATGCATATGGATTTGCGAAGAAATCAGATTTTATTGCTGTTTAATTATTTGGAAGGGAGGAATAGCATAAAAAGTTATTGAATCAAATTGATAAGGTGATTAAAGGAGTTGACAAGAAGAGTTTGATAATTCTAAAAGGAACCTATGGATGTGGAAAAAGTATTCTGGCTAAGAAGGTGTTGCATAGAGTGTAGGAGAAGATCAATTCCAATTAGTACAGTCCATGGAAGTATGGTGAGTATCCACATCTCCTTGTTTAATAATTGGATCCCATAACAAGGACATTCAAATTAAATGGACTAAGGAGTATTTTGAAATAAATCTTTTTATTGTATGCAAAAAGAGTAGAGAAGCCACCAAACATGGAATTATTCAATATGATGGTGGATGTTAATATTCACCCACAGAATATGATTTTAATGTTATAGGAGATAGTGGGTTTGAATGATAATAGACATTTAGAGAAGTTCCCAGCAAGATAACAAGAAGAGGACAAAGAAATTGAAATCAAAAGAATTGTGTTTCAATTTTTAAGCAATTTCTTTGAGTAAATCCCCAGCAAATTCTCTGAATTGTATGAAGGAAGATCTCCAGATCAAATTGGATGGGATGTTATGAAGTCATCTGTTCAAAGATAAATTAATTATTCTATTAAATACACCAATATAATAGCACCTGTTGTTTTATGTTTAGATGATATTTAGAATTATGATTAAATTTCATTTCAAATATTGAGATAAATGGTTAAAACATATGATAGACTTACAATTTTGGCATTGTACAGAGATTCATTTCAAGAGATGATTATCTAGCCAAAAGTGGCAGAGAAAAGGAAGTCTCAAGAGGATATTGCTATTGAAGGTATAACAGCATTAGAGGATAGAATGGATGGAAATCCTTTTATATTGATGCAATTAAGAGGAGTGGAAAGAAAAGGAGGTGTAGACGATGAATTTGCTAAGATGATAAGATTTTCATTCAACATCCAGAAGTTTACACCAGAGTAGGAATGTAGACAAAGTATTGGTGAAGGTAGCATAAGAAAAAGAAATACTTCTTCAATTCATGATGTTGTTATACAAGAGAATTAATCAAGAGAAATTAATAATTAATTTCTATTTTGTGAGAACAAATAGAAACTAATAAAAACTGATGTTGAGTTATTGTTTATGTAATGGATTTATATGAAAACTGGTGGGAATCCATTAATGGTTTTGAACTTTGTTTAAAATTTGATTGATTTGGATTTGATTAGACTAAGTCCAAAGAATGCTACCATAACAAATGAATTAGTTAATCTAATTAATTATGAAGAAAGTATCATAGTAGATGCCCCTTATTGTAGAATTGAAGTAAATGGTCCAATCATTGATAAGTTATCCTGTTTAGAATAGCTATTACTGAAATCAGCTAGTGTCATTGGAGATATATTTGATATCTAATTGTTGAATAAGACTTATCCATTCAAAAATGCAGTCAACAATAAATTGTAAAAGTTTTTGGATGAATTAGAGGCAAAAGAGGTAATTGAAGTCATGGAAGTTAGAGAATAAAATATCTTCTATCGTTTTACATGTCCCTTCATGAGGGATTGTCTGTACTAGAGGATTACATTTAAATAAAGAAGATAATTACATAAAGCTGTAGCTGAGGCCATTTAACAATTGCCTTTACCATTTGAAACTGAAGAATTAGTGGAATGCAAGAAACTGCAATTCTAATGGTTGATGGCAGAATCTAATGCTTATCAACAGATTAACTTTGAAAATAATGATGATAATAAGTCTAATTCCAAACCCAACTTTTTGGTAAATCTAATTAATCCCAAATGTACATAAGACACACAAAAATTTTAGAATATGTCAAGTAAAGCACTGAAATCCATCATTTTAAAATAAATTGGAAATAAGTTCAATAGATCCTAAAACCATGCAAATATTATTTTGAGAGGAGGAGTCTTGATTAAGAAATCCAAAAATAGAGTATCCTCAGTTCCCAGGTATGTGATTCTGGATGGAAAAGAACTCAAGTTGTATTAGAATAGACAAGACTCTCTCAATTGCGAATTACCCTTATGCTCAATTCCATTAAAGAGTATATACTCAGTCATGGCTTTGGAAAGTGAAAAGAACTTCACTCTATAAATTGGATCAACCTATTGGTATAAGAATTTGAAAGAAATGGGAGATAGAAAGTTCTTATTTGATGCTAAGGATAATGAAGATTTATAATTATGGACAATCTATTTGGAATTCGCCAAGGCTCTTGCCATTTATGAGGATTTTACAAATAACTATGGTAAAATTTGCTTTCCCATATCTAACCAATATGAATAGTATGATTCACAATTTAAATATGACATAAGAATTGAAGTATATATTATAATTATATATTTAGAATAAATCGATTCGAGGAATTTAAATAGAAAAAACACAAAAAAATAATAAGGAATCAATTATCTAAAGAAATAGCAGACGCTCCAATAGACACTCGAAATTTACTGTTTCAAGTAAACAATTTAAGTTTATGGAAAAGAATTCGACTGATGAATTGTAAATTTAGAGTGCTTAAGTAGTGGATATGCAATTATTAAAAGAAAGAGTCAATTTGTTTTTGTAAAAAGGGTATGTATTTTTTTCATTTTATTTAGTATTTTGCTCTTGTTTTCTCATTTATTTGAACAATCAATACAAAAGGCAGACGATTTCAAAATATTGGGGAATACTAGCATTGCGATGAGAAAATTGAATAACGTATTTAAAATAGATAAGCAATTGATTAATGAACACAATAAAAAATCAAGTGCTTTTTTGCAGCAACAATAAATAATGATGGAGGACAAACAAGAAACAAAGTTATAGGATAATTGGGAAATAGTAATTTAGAAGGTAGAAATGGATAATGATTTAACGAATAATCAAAATTTAAATTAAATGTTAGAAGAGAAAATAGAGAAGACGGATATGATTTTTGAGTTAGAGAGAAAAAGTTCTTAAGATCAAGAAAAATTGTCGGAATTAGAAAATGATGATTAGACACCCAAATTAAATTTATAAGTGAAATCATTTAAAGATTTAAAGGAAAACATAGATGAAGAGGAAGTAGACAACTTCTAATTGGATGGTATTCACATTTATAAATATTAACTTAGAGAGTGCGTTAAGAAAACAATAGCATTTAAGAATACAAAGACTATAAAATTTTAAAGGCTCTTTTGGAAATGATTCATTTCAAAAAATGCATTCCGAAAGTGTATTACGATCTTCACCTTTGATGAAATAAGAAGATACTTTAACCGAAGTGTTGGCCACTCAATCTTAAACTGAAAATTCAAAAAGAGAATCTACAGACTTATATTAATCAACTTAACAGCCTCCTTAATTGTTAACTAAGATATCGGAGAAAGAATCAATTACGGATGCTTCGTGTTAAGTAAGTCGGCATTTATCTATTTGTTAAGTGGATAAGATAATTCCAGTAAGTAATAATTAAAGATCCAGATAGACTAGCAATATCAATAATTAATAAAATAGGTCTCCTCCTCATACATAAAAATCATTGACCCCCACAAATCACTCATAAAAAAATACTTAATTTAACCTATTAGACGAATGCAAATCTAAAGCAAAAAGAGATTCTTAATTATCATCTTAATTGAATTCAGGCAGAAATAAGCCTGCTCATTTGCTAACAAATTATATCAATTCCTAGAAAACCTTTTCTAAATAAAATAATATTGTTTATGGCACAGCAATTAATAATTGTAAGCCAATAACAGGCGATAATTTTATTCTAAAACCTGGGTATAAGGTGATAGTTTAAAGGATTGACAAGTAAGCACAATTGATAGAATGTTTGTACGAAAATTTAATTGGAATTTTCAGATTGAGAGACATTGCTGTTATTGAAGGTATTTAAAATTTATATATTGAAATAAGATCCTACTATTGAGTAAAAAATAGAAATAACATCATTATTATCAAAGTAGCCAAGCAAAAGTCCTTTAAAAAAATAATTATAATCCAACAGACCTAAACCGTTCCTAACTCCTACTAAAAAAAATTGAATTAATTTTTCTTATTTTTAATATATATCCATCATTTTATTTTTGAAAGGTAAAAGAGAAGGAGAATTTAGAAAAAAAAATTTTGTTTATGGCTAAATATTTAAAACCGATTAGATCTTATTTGAAAATGTGGTAGCTCTTTTAAGTGATCTGATATTTTATTATAAAAGTAAGAATTACTTAATCAGTTATCTTAATGTTTTTATTTAATCATAATTTAAATCGTTAATTATTCACATCCTCAATTAAGAATAATTGATTATTTAAGAGAATCAGAGTTAGATGATTTGAAATAATATATATGATTTAATAAATACTGATAAATTTTTATTCTCATACAAACCCATAAGAAATAATTCATAAAAACTAATATATTCTTATCACGAATACTTATTTATAGATTTGATCCAATTCAAAAAACAAATAATTAAATAAAGATAATAAATTGTTATTTAATAAATATCAAACACCTGAAAGAACTTGAAGGAAATATTTATTTAATTAGTGTATAGAGAGATCATTTTTATATTTATTGAGAATTATATAAAGGATTTAAAATTTCATTTAAGGGCCATCCTTTCCATTATCTTAAAGAATTAAGCTATTAAAAGGAATTCCATTCCAACCGCTTATTTTCTCCAATTTTGAAAGTATATGGCCTTCTTATTCTCAGCATCAATGCATTAGATACATTTTGATAAACTCGATAATATACAAAAGTAATTAATAATAAAAATAAAAAAAATAAATGTATTGCACCTACCATGTTCAAAATCAAGTATCACTTATATGCATAGCAACTCACAAGTGTGAATTGAACAGAAAAATGTGTGTAGAATGCCAATAGGAGCATGGCGTGGATTTGAAATAAACACTTCCTCTAAAATAGGTTGAAGAAATGGTCAAAAATAAGTTTAAAGAATTTCAGCTTGATGATACATCTGATATAACAAAAGAGAGAATGAAATATAAAGCCATGCTCTCTTAAACAGAAAGTTCAATAAAGAATATTTTGGATGAGATATCAAAATTATTCGAATAAACATTTGATAGGGTTGAATAGGAAAGTAAATCATTCACTAATCTAATCAACAATAATCCTAATTTAGCCAGCATTTCCAATAGTGAATTAAATAAATTAGTTGAAATTTTATAATGGAACAATTTAAATGATTTTATAATTTAGAAAAATTTATATTTGGTTAGGTTGGAGAATTCACGGTTTTGGTGGGAACAAGAAGTTTAGGCATTTGGTGAGAAGTTGAAAACAGTAATGAATTAATATATAGAATTTTTCAGGTAATAATTTAGCAATTTTCAAAGTGTTAAACCAGTTAGCCTAGATGCCGATCTTATATAAGAATTAGAGATGAAGAATTAAGCAATATTAGAATACAAACAAATATTTATAGATAAAAAGTAATTATTAAATAATGAAATTAAAACAAACCAAAATGAAATGATTGATTTATAAATTGAATTAGATGTCCTAAAACTTGGTGATACTATTATAACTGTAAACGTCAAAAGTTTTAGTACAAATGTAAGTTAAACCTTCTAGATGTAATTAAGGGATAGTATCAGTGACCTTTACATACTGGCAGTTAATGAAGGAATTCAGTATTAAATTATTTATATCTTAGCAAAGGATCACCTTTAGATTGTTGTTTACTTGTGCCATCTAAAAATATCAAATATGCTTCATCTGAATGGAAATAAAGATTTTAAGAAATTTTCATACCAAACGATTACACTAATAAAACAATAACACTAGAATTTTGTTAGTATGATATCTAAACCAATCGATAAATTTACGAAGGCAAATGATTAATAATTAATTATCCAGAAATATCGTATTTAGAATTTGAAATCCAAAAAAAATACAGAAAGTTTTTATAGAGAAAGTGTAACAGATTTGCTTCATTCTTTTCTCCAAATTTCGTGACATTTTGAAAATTCATTCGCTCTTGACCAAGCCATTTTTGGTTCAAATTATTTTATTATCTTTTACTTCAGGATCGACCAGTAACACCACTTTAGCTTAAAAAATCTTAGAACTTAATAGCGATGCAGTCAAAATATCTATCTCTCTTGTTTCAATTATGATTACCCATAAAGAATCAATAAAGATTTTCAAGCCTTCTTAGATAAATAGCTTTGCTAGGATAGAAAATCATAATGCTCATTACTTTTTTCATTTTTCTAATACTTTTATCTATTACCTAAATATATTTAAGATTCAGACTAAAAGAAGATATCAAATGTCTTAATATTAATTCGACATAATCTTTGTCAATTTTCAATGTTCTATAATTATTATATTAAATAGAGTAGATTATTCAGATATTTCAGTACTACTTTTTTTAGAGAATCCTTAAACTCTATGGTTTTTGGCTGGACGATTTTTTTAAAAGTTTAACTTAGCGATATTGTTGAATTAACTCTCTCTGTCATAATTTCATACATAGATTTTTTTAATTAACCTCTTCTTTTCATAATTGTAAAATAAATCTTGGTAATTTAAGTAGAATCCTCTAACCTGCTAGTTAAATTTTGATTTCCATTACTTTTGTTCTATAATTCACATTTTAATTTATTCATCATATACTAGTCTACAATTTAGACAGGTATTTATTGGTTCTCAATGTAGTTTCGTACCTTTATACCCTTACTTTCTATTAAAATAACGAAAGACAATTAACTCATTGATTTCCTTCCAAGTCTGAATTATAGATTTCTGTTTCAAAATGCAAATTACTAATTAATATAAATATATAATGGTAAAATTTGAAGAATTTTAGAAACTAACACCAAAGGAAAAGAAGAAGGCGATGGCAGAATTACATGATTTGCGTGGACCTACTTATTAAATTTTTAAAGAGAAGCCGTTCCATCACATTCAAAAAAAAGTGAATCCAAAACACAACTTTGGAATATATTCAGTCCCAAAATATTTTATTTGATTTAATATATGGACCATTTCTTAAGATTCATAAATCCCCACGTCTTTTTGGGATGTGTGCAGTTCTTGCAATTACAAACATCTAAAGAAAACGAAGCTCTTCTAGGCACAAGACTTTTTGAAAGACTAAGAAAAATAGGTGTGCCATAAGAAAAAATTGATTAAATCATGCAGCAAGACAATTTAAATGGGAAACTCTCCCAGGTTTCAGAATTACTTAGACTGAGATCAAGAGCACTTGTAGATTACGTTCAAGAAAATTTATGGACTGTGGAAGAAGCCTACTAAGCTTTAATAATATTATTTGATCAAGGAGAATATGAGAGAGCTACAGAGATTGTTGATAATCTGTATCCCTGTGTGGAAGCAACTGAGAAGTTAAATCATTTGAGAAACGGATTCCTATGGGCTAGATTAGTAATAAATGCCTTTATAATTTTAGAATTGCAAATTAATTGGTCTTTTTAAGAACAACAACAACGCTACAGCCTGTATCGAAGCAATCAAAGACTTATTAAAATAGGAAGATCAAATAAAATATAATTTCAAACAAAGAGCTGATCTCTTACACGCTGGAGTTTTGGTTTGTTTTATATCTGACGATACAAATGCATTCCTAGAACTCTTCTCAGGTGATTAATTCTTAGAGGTGGTTCACACCATTGCTCCCTATTTATTATATTACTATGCAGTGGCTTTGTTGATAAATTAATAGTTTGTTGGTAATACTAGTCTCGCCTAAATTGGTGCCAATGCTAGTAAGTCAGTTATGCATTTTCATTTATTGAATTATGTTGAGGAAATTATTGTTAAATTTCAATTCGACAATGCAATCAAGATGGTGAATGATATTGCAACTGAAATCGATAAAGACTTTATTGTGAAATCCAAAAAGGCCATCATCATTAATGCATGCAAACTGTATTTCTTTTCAACTTACATCAAAATCTTAAATGGAGTATAAATTAAGTAAAATTATGCATTTAATGGATTAGGCAATTTTCGAATTATTTATAACTAAATGAAGAAGAAACTGAATCATGGTTGGTTAATGCCATTAGAACCTTAAATATTAATGCCAAAATAGATGGGGATAAAATAATTGTGTAAAAATAAGATAATAATGCATAGAACACACAAGTATGCAATTCCATTTAAATTAGTTATTAAAATAATTAAGAGACTTACAACCAAAATCGAATATGTTAATATCAAACCTTTAAAGGATTATTAACATTAAGTGAATCATGTAAAGTATAGTAATCAATAACATAATATAGTTAAACACCCTATATAAAATACTAAACCTCTTATTTATATTTATAAGTTATATTCACTTAATCAAATATCACAATTGACTATAAGTGCAATTCATCAACAAATCCAAAACTTCTTTATTAAATTAGTTGAAATCAACATATCTTAAGTTGAAATCTGAAAGAGAATGTATTTATTAATTCAACTTCTAACATGACCCTTAAACATTTCGCTTATTATACTACATCTTTTCAATAAGTCTACATTACTTATTCTTCTTATTTGAGTCTAATTTGAGAGTATCCGAGATATTCATGAACATTTCATTTAATTTATTAATAACATCATTATTGTTCTTTTTGCATGATTGCATTTTAAACATTATTTTATCGGTATTGTTACCCATTTCTAAAACATGTTATGATATTTTTAATCTTAAATTTACTATTGGGTTGCAAATTAGATTTATAAAGAATACACTCAAACAGAATAACAGAATTGCTAAACCAAAAATTATAAGAACAGCATAACCATACTGCAGATAAAATCCTTTTTACTCATCCAATATCCTTTGCTCCAATATATTTTATTATGTGAGATTAGTAAACCTATAAATTAAAAGATATATTTACAAAATTAGTGTAAAATTCTCTTTTATAAATTTTTTACACTTTATTTTAACAAATTACTAGTATAGTTTATTATAGAGCATAAATATTTGATCGTATTGATTTTAACTTGATTATTCGTTATTCGCCTTCTTTTCAATTTCCTTCCAATCCGTAAAGTTGAACCCAGTTATTGTCTCATTGTAGATATATAAAGCCTCCACGTTTCTGATTGGATTTTCCATTCCATAATGCATAACCTAGCCATCTTAGTTAATTAATAAGACATTAAATTATATTTTCTGTAAGTTTTGGTCCGTTACATATACTTATGTTTTTACTATTGCGAAGAACTCTTTTTACTAATCAAACAAGGATTGAGTGATTGAAAAACTAAACTTGTCAGTTCCATACAAGACTTAGTAGACATTTGTAAAAAAGTAAAACTCATTCTTTGTATTGTTTGCTTAGGCCATGTGATTTTGATACCTAAGGCTATCTTTATAATATACCATATCCTATCCTATGGATTATAATTATTCAATAATAATCCTGTTGGATATAATGAATCAAATATTATTGGACTTGTGTCTACCACCTACAAAAAGTTAGGCCATTACATATTGAACAGTAGTGAGAATTGATCAAGTTGTTTAAGCCCTTAATACAAAAGCTTGATATTGTCATTTAATATAATCTATTGATACTGCTCACTGTGGATTTAATAGCAGAACTACGGAATGTTCTGAATATATCGTGAGTTTTTGTAATCATCTTCAGTTAGGCAAAGTTGTAAATCCTAATTAACGAGGAATTGTTTTTGATGGTTAGCCAAATAAAAAAAAAAAGAAGCAATATTGTCAAGGAGTTAGATGCCTTTTCATTTCATGTATTATTTACTTCTTTTATGCTTTTTTATTAAATAGGCTTCTACTTGATTTCCAAGGCTGTCGATCTGCTTAATGTCGGTAACATTCATCATGATATTCGAAGATTCTAGGCTGATATCATAAAATATCACGGCCTCAACATAGATTCCTAAAGTGCAAACACTCAAAACGATTAACAAGATCATCATATCAAGAATTATTATCTAGGATTTCATCTTCATCTCTCTAAACTAAGAACAACTGAATACGCACATCAAATTAGGGGGATTTTAAATTTTAATTATAAAATTAGCTGCTCATTAATTAACAAAAACCTATTAAATTTACTATTTAATTAGGTCAAATTAATTGACGTAATTTATATTAGAATATTCTTAAATGTATATATCCAAACTAAAATAGAATTGAATTAGATGAGATGAGAAAAAGTATAAGATAATTGAATTCTATTTTAAGAGAAAATTAAATAAATAAATAATATAAACTACAATAAATTACCATAACATTCAATCACCACTGTACTTTTCCAACACTTCAATTGCATTTGTATCACCCTAACTAAGGAAAGCATGCATAGCATTGGCAAATCTTTATTTTTGTTAGAACAGTTATAATTCTAAGTAATGATTTAGATATATACCTAAGGAATCATATTTTTTTGACAAAATCCCTAATTATTGCTCATATTCATTCTTCTCTCTTTGGAGTTGATCACATTCAGTTTAAAAGGAAAATAGTTTTTATTACACATCCAAAAGATCATCATTGGATTTTTCTACTAATTTTTGATATTCTGCAACGCGCTAATCATCCTCGTCATCATTCTCGAGTTCAGAGATTCTCTCTCTGCAATCAATTAGTTATTAGTTTTAAATGGTTAATTTATTTTTAAGATCCTGATTCTCCTTCCTAATTCTAGCTACCTATTATTCAAGTTCATATAATTATTCCTTCAAATCAGTGTTGGCTTAATTGAGCAACTCAAATTTTTGGTCAGTGCTTTCTTGTTTCAATCCTTGAGAGTATTGTTTTTTGAGTTGTTCAATTTGTTACTCTAGATTTGAACATTTATCACAAGGGAGTGGCTTAGTTTTTTTTTATTTTTTAAATGATTCTACCATATCAATTTGATAATAGATACCTAATTCTAATTGAAATTGTATGCATTTCTGACAGTCTTCTGGTTGTACTGTTGAAGTGTCTGAAATGGGTTTAGATGAATTTGAATTGAGTTAGGTTACTTAGGTTTATTTGATTTGATTTAATAGCTATTGTATGTAGATCTATTATTCTTTATTTTAAACTCTTAAATGATCAACCTCCTCTTATAATCTAGTATTGTCATCTTTCATCTGTTTATTTTGCTGGTCTAATTAAGTGATTTGAGCTTTGGATTGATCTTCCCTAACTGTTTTTAATGATTTGAATACTATTATTAATGTTGGCTTCTGGAGTTTTAGATCTTTGCTCTTGACTCAAGAAATTGATTGTATATGAGAGTGTAGCATTGGGATCAGGACATTTGGAGAGCGGAGAGAGTTCGTCAATCTTGCCCTTTCTTTGATTCAAGTAGGAGGAGAAATCAATTTCAATTTGGCCTGCATTCTTCATTCCTTTATCGTACCTGATGAGGACGATTAATGTGCCCATTTTCTTTTGGTACTCTTTTTGTTTCACATCGTAATACATGGTAGCAGGGACTCTAAGTATTTGTTCGATTCGGGCACACTTGTTCACCAATTGGACTGGTTGAGTTTGTGCTTTTCTGTCTCCTCTTTGGAAGACGATCATGACTTCACAATTGGGAACAGAGATATTGATGTTGAGATGATGGACATTGACTTCGATCAAGGCTTTGTTCTCTGAAGTGCCAGCATGTTTAAACATATATTTTAATATATAATAGATGAATGAACGTATTTTCAAATGGTAATTAATAACCCGATTAATATGACATGAACCAAGATTCCACCAATTTCATTGTTTGTAGTGTCATTCTTTGTTTCATTGTTAGTTGGAATCGTAGTATTAGTTTAAGGTTAATAAACACAAGATGTGCATGAATCATTTCTATTGGAGAAATACCCAAGAGATTTTGTGTAACAATCAGCACTACCGAAGATGGTTGGACTGATGTCTTTGCATGAATGATCTGCATTGCTGTAAGCACAGAATGTAAGTTGAGTCTTTTAGTAATTGTAAAAGGAACCACAAGGATTCTGAAGTCCATAGGTTTAACAAGTGTGAGATTGACAAGCAGAGGAAGTTGTATTCCAATGGCAACTCTTGGAATCACAGAATTATTATTAGTTTGTGTCAGTACAACTACTCATTACTGAACATTTGGAGTTCTTAAACAAGCACTATCCATCAGTACCTTTGGTGCAATCCTTTTCTGTGGTGTATTCTTGGCATTTACGATAAGGTTGGCAAAGATTCTTGATGAATTGACAATGGCTTAGAGTCTTGCATTAAGTCTCCACGGTTACTTTAGAGCAATCATATACAGTACAAATTGAATCCACTAAGACACACTAACCTTCTTGGCTGAATGCTGAAGAACAGGCAGAGTTTAAATAAGATGAGCAAGCATTTTCCATATTGATACACTTTACACCATCGGAAGTACAAGTCGACAACTATTGATAACACCTTGAATGATCAGTTCCATATAGATCTATACATGTAATATTGCTACATGATCTGTCCTTCCAGAGACAAGTATTTAATTTGGTTACCAAACCATTTGATTTGACTATTCCACTCTAGTCAAATTTACAATTCTCTTCGTAAGGATATTTTGAACATTCCATTAATTTAATACACTGACTGACAGTGTCAGTTGTACAGCTTTGATTAATTGAATAGCATTCCTGATGAGTTTTGTAATGGTAACTATCACAAGATGAGAATTTAGAACACTTATTGTTCTCCCAAGCACAGTCTCCCTCAATTCCCTTTATGCATTATACCTTTAGACTGTATTCATCACAAGAAGTAATGGGAACACATTTGGTTCCATCTGTAGTGCATTGATTTTACAATGAATCAAAACATTCTTAATGAGATGTGTAGGAAATTGATTGGCACTTTTAATATGGCAAACATTAACCATTTAAATACAAACAGTTTCCTTCTGTTCCTATTGTGCAATTCTCTTTTGATAATTAAGCGCAATTTCTCATTTCAACACAAGTTGAACCATCAGTGGTACAATTTTAAAGTTTAGATTGACAGTTCAAGAGATTTCCACTTTTGTAATCTTTGCAGACTTTAGATCTACAATTCTGATTCTCCCAAATGCATTCAAAGAGCTAACTATCATCACACTAATTTTGAGTTGTGTAATCAAGGCAACTGCGTGCTATGGTACATCCTCCTCCTAATTTAGTTATGCAATTCTACTTTGGAAAATAAGTTTCACAATCTTGAGTATATATCAATTCAAGTGGAGCTTCTGAGCATTACAAGAATTTGCATTATTTCTATGCGGAATTCCAACCACAATATTTGTTATTGATATCAATATTGCACGCCTATTGGTACTAATTTTAATCACAAGTTCCTCTTTATATACAAAATCTACCATTGGAAGTGCACTTAGAATCCTTCATCTTACAATCTTAGTCATTATCATAGGGATAATCTTCACAAACACTGTTTCTGCAAGTGTAGTTTGGTTCAATACAAGTGGAAAGATAATCTGAGCACTTTTAGTTTTCGGGTATTTCATCCTTGCAAGTTTTGAAGTTGCATTCTTAGTAAAGTTGATTCCAAATGCAATCCTCATTTTGTATTGTTTTCTTACACTGATCCTAAGTTTTGTATTTTTTACAATCTGTTGATTAATACATGCATCCATCATTTGTTCCATTTACTGTACATCTTAATTTGCTATATTGCTAACTACAATCAGTATGTGTATAACTGCTGAGTATTGTTGTTTCACAACTAGCCTAGATGCATGTATTGTCCAACCACATGCACTCATAACCATCCAGTTATTTGAAACACTATTTCTCAATCTTATATTTAGAACAAGAATCTCTTAAGTCTTCACAGCCATTCTCTGAATTATTGAGATTGCAAACTAAATCATTGAAAAATGCTTAGCACTGTGTTTTTGGTTATAATGCATTATATACAATCTCTGAACATTTTTTATCACTACAACCTTTATTTTAATACCAATAACAGATTTTCGATTTATCGTTAAGATTGCACTATCTTTGATTCAAATAATCAGAACAATTGGGTAATAAATTTGAGCAACCTCCAGGATAAGCCACGGTGCATTCTGATTTATAAGCATTGCATTATTGATGTGTCAAATTATCTGTGAGATCAGTACAATTCCTAACTACACACTGGCTTGTACCTAAATTGAATACGCATCTGTCATCATCTACGCATTCTAACTATGATGCAGCATAATCAGAACAATTTGCTTTCTTTTTAATACACTTATTAGTATCACCAACATTACCATTAATCACACATTTTGAATCTACAGTTGAACATTTTTGATTCACTGGAGTCAATGTTAAACAAATACTTTAACAAGCACTACCCCCAGTGTTCCATTTACAAAATGTCCCTGAAGTATCTTTATTCCCATCACAATCATCTTATTTCGTGAAGGCACCGCACTCATTTTAAATAACTTTACAACCTTCTGTATTTGACCAGAAACAACTGCTTAATGCAATACAATTCGTTTTGCTGACATAATAGCCACATTAAGATGGAGTAGTTTCATTACTTTTACTCTTACAAGCACTAGCTGTGTCCTTTTTGCAAGATATAAGATAATTTTCGCATATTTCATCTGTATATTCAACTGTTGCTATTCCTGTATCAATGCATTTCTTATCCGTAATACAGAAGCTACTTTAATCAATTTAAACTGCTGGGTAAACACAAGCATTACTTACTTACTTAAAGATATTTTAATTCCAGTTTATGCAAAATGAATAAACCCATTTGCATTTATTGTTATTCTTATCGTTGCCTTCATTGCATTAGTATTCGTTGGTAATATTTTTACAATTATCTACTCTATCAACACAACCAATAGGGATCAAATTTGGACCTCTCATGCACTTTTTACCTTCAAGAAAGGCTTCACAATTAGATTATGTTATATCTCCTTTGTAATCTTGACATTATTTATCCCTACACACTCCATTAGAATAAATGCACTTGCTTCCATAACATTAACTTTAATTTAACAAACCACACTCAGTTGGACTTACAATACATCCAGTAATTTACTCCAAGACAGTGCATTATGATTGATATAGATTACACTCCGAATGAGTATTAAAATCTTCTGTCTTTGGAATAAGATTACATGTAATTTCTGCACATTTACCATTTTACCAAATGCAAGGTTAGTTTTGGGAGTTAATAGTACATGACTTTTCTGAAGTGTATGATTTGCATAATGATTTAACTGATATGCATGTTGTCCCATCAGTTGTGCAGCTGCTTAGATAATTATTGCATTCATAATGTGTAGTATAGTGTAAGTACTCGCATTTACTGTCTAAACACTAATTCTTATACCAGGAGCATTTACTTTAAGTAGATTAGTAACATTGAATCTCTCTAATATATTGATTGCATGAGTATTTGATCATCATACATCCCATTCCCTAATCATTCAAAGTACAAGTAGACAAATAATTCCAACATTCCAAATGACTAGTATATTTTATATCTCTTCCAGCAGTCTCACAAGTTTTTGTATCACACTTACTTTACCAAGAGCATTGTCTATTTGCCTAACAAGTTTGTTGAGTCTATTATGCATAACATCCATCTTCAATGCATATTTTACCATTATACACACAATTAGACTAGAAATTCTTACAAAGTGTTGCAGTCTTAAAACTTGCAGGTGCCCATTGGCATTACTTTAATACGCATTAATACCCATTCCAATAACAATTTTCGCCTCTGATATTTTACTAACATCCCATTTTGTTATTAGCCTAGTCACATTCTCCATTCATCTTGCATCCCCCTCCAAATTAAGTAATACAGTTTGAATTTATCTCCTAACAAGATTAATTAGTTTGTCTAGTTAAACTAGCATTCTCACATGATTTAATTTAACATGATTTGTTTTCCCACATGCATTAAATGTTAGACTTATTATAAGTGCATGATTGCTCAATAGTATATTAATTACATTCCAATCTGTCAATGCATTTTGAATCCTTGTCTAAAGAACATCCATTTTTAACACAATCTTTTGTTATATATTTACAACTGAAATCATAACAAGCTTAGCCATCCCAATAACACTTCACATCTCCCTTTCTATTAGTAATACACTACTATTAAAATTTTTGATCTTTGCATAATTCTCCTGAATCTTCACAACCGCCTCCTTTTTTGAATGTACACCAACTTAACTATTTTCTACATTCTGCATCGTTTTTCAAACTAAATGATAACTCATTACAAGCTTATGCATTTCTGCATTCTTTTTTGTCCCAAAAACAATATTCTTACCATTCATAATTAACATAATTGTTGCGACAGGAGAATCTAGTCTTATAATTTGCACAAACACTTTTCTCTACACATTTTGAACCATCGGTTATGCATATTTCTGAATATTATTAGCATGCATAATTTGTATTTTATTTGATTGCCGTGCATCCAGTGAATGGAACACAAATACCATTATAGTTAGCACAACCAATAGTTTTACTGCAATTATCCTTCTGATACGAACAATAACTCGTCCTTATCAACGGAAGAGTTTGATTTTGACACTCTCCTGCTACTTAATTCCATTCACAATTTATATTACACTCCTCAATTGTATATATCTTGCTACATTCGCATTTGTTCTTCTCATTAACTGTTTCACTAAGTATACCCTAAAAAGAAATCGTATACAATAACAATAAAACGAATTTCATTATTTAAAAATTAGAATACAAAAAACCTTAATCGGATGATACATTATTTAACTCCAATTATAAATCTTAACTCAAGAACATTAATCTTCAGCTCTGATTTAAATTGATTTCAATACTTACTTAGTGTTTGTTGACTAAAATTAGTAAATTACTGACGATTTAGTCTACTTTTATTGTTATTAACATTTAATAAAAATGTAAAAATAAACAGAAGAACTAGAGTTTCTCCTCAAGAAGAGTCCTCAACACAGAAGCAAAGCTGAAATCGATTTATTGGTGCAATTAACCTCTAAACTCCCATTTTTTAAATAATACATGAAGCAAGAAAATGGTTTATAAATACAAAGGAAATGTTGCAAAAGTATGTACTGCGAAAAATTCAAAGCAAATGAAATTGTATTCCACATCGGTACTCTTATTGCCTTTACATTTTCGTAGACAGTGTCGGTACCAAGTTTTACATCATTTTGGATGGATCTGTCACTGTATTAGTCAGAAAAACAACTCAATCTGAAATGGAGGCTGTTAGAGTTCTTAATGGTGGAGAATCTTTCGGTGAACTAGCCCTGTTACACAAATAACCAAGACTTGCCACCATTTCATGTAATACAGATTGCATTTTCGCCGTCTTGGATAAACACTAATTTAAGCATATTTTATAAGAAGAATAATAAAAATAACTGGATTAAGTAAATTACTTTACTATTTTAAGAATATTGATTATTTTTCATAAATCAGAATATTTTCACATCTCCATAGAACCCAACTAAAACATATCTATTTGAATTCTTTTCTCTATGAATTTGAAAAGAATCAAGTTGTCATCAAAGAAGGACAAAAAGCGGATTATTTCATATTGATCAAATCTGGAAGTTTTCTTGTTAAAAAAATAATGAAACCCAATTAAATAAATATCAATGTAAGTCGACTTACTAAATAATTAAGCTCTTTGAAATTGGAGAACTGCAAGTGTTTGGTTTCTATCATCTTAGCATTAACATACCATATGAATATTCTCTTGTTTGTAATACATCAAAGGGCTATGCATACAAAATTAATAGAACCTCCTTGGTCGAAAGAATGTTCGAATAATAAGGTGATGATCTTAAACAAAATAGAATTGAACTATTGTAATTGGCTGATTTACGGACAGAAACAGAAATCAAAACGGCGAACATTTATCCACAATATTTTAGGAAAAGAATCCGCACTGATGTTATCGAAGAACATTCACAGGTAACTTAACCCAATAAAAATGCTAAACTGAATCTATTTTAGTATTAAAATCAAAAGAAGTAGAGAATGAATCAATTTAAATTATAAATGGATCTTTAGTCGTTAAAATTGAGGAAAAAGCCAATTAAAGTACCTTAATAAGTTTCACCACATACTCAATCAGATATATTTCTAAAGCCTCATCAATATTATAACTTTATACAATAAGAAACAGAGTCTTAGATGTAATAATAATAATAACAATAATAACAATAATAATAATAACTAATTAACTACTCTAAAGTACCAAAAAAGTTATTGATAAAAACTCATTTGGCTGAAGAATTTACGGAAAAACTATCTTGCGATAGTCCTTTAAGTACAACTTAAACATAAATGAAAAGTGTAAATGGATTAAAAAAAATGATATTACCCAATCAGCAAAATAGAATAAAATCTAGAACTTTTTAATGCTAGTTGAGTTCGTCTTCACTCTTCAAAACTATGAGTTGTGTGCTCTAACAACGATACTAGAGTATAACATCCAACAATCATTATCTCTGATTTTTATGATTGCTTTATGTATTATTTTTAAACTAAATCTAACATTTAACAATTATTAAATACGTCAAATAACTATATTTTATTACAATCATAATTATTTAATCTAGGCTTCAATATTGGTTTAACGAATTGCATGGTTATTATCAAATGAATAAGTAAAAGAAAATATTTATAATATGCTTATGAAGGTTAGAGATAAAATGAAAATATGCCCTTTACTAAATTCATAAGAAAACTTGATTTTAGTTGTATTATATAAATTAATAGGCGACTCAAATTTAATAATTAGTAAATGCATATCAAATCATTTAAAGAACCTGTAAGTAAATTAAAGTGATCTGAATATTAAATTGTTTATTAACTCTATATAATTTATTAATGATTAAATTGAATAGGATTTTAATTATGCAGTTAAAACAACTTAAGTAATATTAATTTAATTAAAACACTCATTTTAAACAATTGACACACCCTTCACACCTACACTAATGTGTACATTGTAAATTATTTTGAAAGCATTCGCAATATTTTTTTTAACATCCTGACTTTTTGCAATTGCATCCTTTAAAGGCTTATTTGAATGCCCCTGGATCTCTTGCTTATATTTAGAGTTTGGCATCTTTTCTTTACGAATTATTGAGAGAATTATTAAAACATCCAACACAATTGCAATTTTCAGAGCATACTTATCCGTTAGCAAAGCAATCGCAATACTGTTTTAAACATTAAGATTTTTTGCAATTACAAGTTCTAAAATAGAAAATAAATCTACTTAGTGCTTGTAACAATTTTAGGGAGACTTGGAGGTGGAAGAATAATTTTTATTGGTCTGTAAATATTCTTAACTTCTAACTAGATTTGAGTATCTACAGTCTCTTCTTCCATTTCTATTTTGTTGGAGGGACATAAGATCCTAAAATGAAGATGAAATGATACCTGAAGGACGAGTCTTTGCTAACTTAAAAGGATCTCATTTAGATTTAAAATTTGAATTATTTATAATTCGTTAAAATTTATTCATATAAATCTGCATATAAATCTACTTATAAATATTGGGGATTGACCATTTTTAATAGAGATGCCCTTGTAGCTCAGTTGGTTAGAGCGCGAGTCTCATAATCTCGAGGTCGTGGGATCGACCCCCACCAAAGGCATATTTTTTTTATTTTAAACAATATAAATTTTTTAAATATATATTCATTCAATACTAAATATATTGAAATGGGGCTATTCGTCTTTATTATTAATAACAGCAATCTGATTCTTGCTGACCTATATCATTTTTGGATTGGTGTTATAATTATTAATAATAATTTTATGATCCCTATAGACCTCGATTTCTTAGTTGTTCACCCACAATCTAATGGTAGAATCACTAGCCCCTAATCCCAATAGATAATCAGAACAAATGATATCACAAATACCAAATTGAGATGTATTTAACTTTAGTTTGATCTCTCCATTCATCCAATCCACCACTGAAACCTTATTTGAAGTTCCTCCAAAAATGATACTTCTTTCAGAATACTTTTTGACGCATAACACAGCTCCCTCAGTTTTAATATCTCTTAAGTAAGAAGCAGAAACTATCTCTTCTCCTTCAAAGTACAATTACCAAATAGCTAAAGTTCTATCCCATGAACCTGTTACAACAATATCTCTTTTGACAAGTTGTAAGCATGATACCATAGCTGTGTGTTTTTTCAATGCACAAAGGGATTTACCTGAAGTGACATTCCAAATAATAGCCAAATTGTCGTAGCTGCCACTCAAAATGCTATGATTATCAGATAATTCAATTAGAGAAGTAATTCCAGATTAATGTCCTGTTAATTTGTTTATCTACTTTCTAGTTGACAAAGACCAAATGATTATTGAAGAGTCAAGGTTTCCTCCTCCTGAAATCAATAATTTTTCTTAGAACATACAGAGAGCTGTAACTTGATCAACATGGCCTTCTAAAGTGAAACTTTGTTAAGGAACTTCTAGATTATTGATTCTTATTGTTTTATCTCTGCTACCTGAAGCGATATTCCTCTAATCCACTTACAGTAAACTCGTAACACCTCTCATTTAAGCTGTTTCGACAGATCTATAAAATTTAATGCGTGAGGAGGTTGAAATTCTACTTTATTAACTGGATTAAAATTTTAAGGCCTACGAATTAGTATTTTCAATTCCAGCATTATAAACAGGAGAGTTAGGTTAAACAGTTTCGAATAGTTTTGGACTGTCGTATTATCTTTGGGTTTTTGTTAATTTTTGATCAGAATTTTAATTCCTGACATCACTTAGGACTAGAATAGAATATTGAATTAATAATACTGTTCAAAGATTCATCAGGATTTTAATATTGAGTATTTCTTGAGAGTATTAAGTCTTTCAAGTTGATTTAAACTTTGAATTCATCCATAAGCACTTCACATTATTGCCTGATTGAATTCATAATTTCAACAAAGTTTTATTCCTATTAAAATGTTGGATTTTCAGGATCAGCTTATGGTGTGTCTGCCCATTATTTTTCTAATTCTTCTACTATTTCATTTTAGATTTGGAACTCCTAAAAAGTATCTATAAATGCCAAGTTTTTGCCTAAGTCTTCAGGAGGTAGTAATTTAACCTTCAAGTCAGTCACATATGTGTTGCATTCCTTATTTTATTTGGACAACTCCTCCAATGTTTGGAGCATTTCTTCTTTAGTAGGAAGTGGAACTAAACCGTACCTATGTTGAATAGATTAAACCAGAAAGTTTAACGAATTTTAATATTGTAGAAATCTTTCGTTGTAGTGTTCATATAGTTCGGACTTCACTTTTTCTAATAGTTATGTTAAGAGATTGGTTGTGTCTGCTATAATGTAATCCACCCAGCATTTCCTGTTATTGATCTATGATTCATATCTATCGATGAAATCTTGTTTAGTTTGTAATAACTTTAAATGTCCTTCAATTGCCAATTGCTAATCTTTCTTTCTCTTCTCCAACACATTTCTGAACTCCTCATCCAGTCTAGTAGTGAAATTGTCAAAATCAATCTAAGTTTGAAATTCAAAAATACCATAACATCGCGATGATTTCTAGCATGATCGGCTTCATCAATCATACATTCCCAACACAATGTAGGATCTCTTTTGCAAGATGAACTTGCACATATTCTTTCCACAAATGAATTTGGATGATACTTACAAGGGATTTTGAGCATATAAAATATAACTATAAAATATTATTTGTAAATTCTCAACTAATTTAGCATATAAATAATGTTATTTTGCAAATAGCATAAAATATATGTGTGGTTTTAATTCAATCTAATTTACATATACGCCAATCCTTCTCAGAACTATCTGATTCTCTTCTTTCTAGAACATTGTATTTTACAACATCCTTCTTAGTTTCTGGATCAATAAAATTAAATTTAACAGTAATTTGATGCCATGTTTATGATGACTGCAATGCCATCTTCTTTTGTGAAAATAATCTCGCCTAAACCAACTAAGCATCAGTCATCTCTTTATACAATTTAAAAGGCAATGGCTTATTATCCTTTAGACTTACTTTAACAATCTAACAATTAAATAATGCAATACATCGTATAAAGGAACAGACAATAATCTAATCAAATCCACCTTGTCCTTTCTATTGTAGGTTTCTAAGAACTCGAAATATCTATCTTTTGCGAATAAAGGGAATTAACTTCGTTTAAAATCTAAATAGCTTCGATACTTCACATACCGATGAAACAAGATTCAGTCTAATTCAATGCTAATCTAGTTTTCAAGGCGTTCTTTAAGTATGGCATTATACCGGATCCTTGAGATTCGAATAGATCAACAATCATGGGAGATGATATTTTAGATGAGATTCTCTCAGCCTCCTTTACTGCCTTCTTCATATTATTTTGGATATTTATTAATATCACTAAAATCAATTGGCTATCTTCTTTTTCTCTTCTTCCAGAATTTCCAGATTCCTCTTGACTTCATTAGGCAATTCTATGAGACTTGGATAAAGTGTTGCAATTGTCTACCATTATGGCAATACAAATGTATCTAACAATTAAATATCCAAAAATACTTAAGAAAAATGTTTAGCCATTAAAGAACGTGAGTTTATCCTTATATTGTAGCATTGCCGTTACTTCCAAGCCTTTTGCTGCCTCTTTTATAGTCTACTTTAACATATTATATACTTAATCTTAAAACTCTTAGGCTAATAAAAAGGACCATTTCATATAAGCATCCCACTCTAAGCATGGATTTGAAATATCACAAGCGTGAACCAACACATTTAAAATGAACTAATATCATCGAATGCAGTATATTACTTTCCTATCATCAAAGTTTTCCTTATTAAATCCTCTGTATCTAATCAGTGGATCAGTGATGTCTTGACTTTCTCTCAATTCAATAGTTGCATTGACTCTATCTTTGAAACAACTGAAGATATTGAAATGTTATCCCATATCTGTGGCTAAAATAGAGCTCACCAAAATTCTCTTAAATTCTTGCTATTATGCGTTTGGCAAATAATTTAAAAAATTCAGCTATTGATTCTGCGCCAAAATATTGAATAGTGTGGAAACGTGCATGCTCTCGAGGACTGCCTGTTCACAAATATTTTTATTTAACTTTTTGGATTTCTTAACTTTGTACAAATTATTCACACCCTCTTTAATATTATTTATTCATTTTTTACTGTGATTTATATCGTGACTTAAGCTTGCCAACAAGGCTGCAAAGATGTCTTACTTAGATACAAATAGTTTAAGATCAGATTTCTCATACACACAAAATAATAACTTGGTTAAAACTCAATTGTTACTTAGAATAATGCAAATGCATGCGTAAAGTTATGATAAGAAACGATGTTGTAATTTAGATTGATGTGTGTCAATAGATTCTCTAAATTATTGTAATTTGCGAATTGTTCAACCTTACAATAAAATTAACTTAATTACTTCCAAATGCTAGAATATCATCATCGAAGCCTTTAACATCTCTCTACTCGTATAATGGTGATGATTAAAATTAACATTGATTAAATCCTCGTATTCTTCATAAACTATATGTGATTACTTAGAGTTGCTATCTTTTTACTGAAATCCAATTTCACATCATAAACCAGTGGAACAAATGTTATATTCAAGGATTTCCATTTTTTTACAAACGCATGATAGTCAGTTTAATTAAGTTTCAACTCATTTTCCAGTCTCCTTCGAAATCTCTTCAAGGCTCTATAAACTTGATTCAATTATTCCTAATTCTCCGATTTGAGAAAAGGCACACAACTCTCAAAAAGTTTGAATGTGTTTTGAAACTCTTTGTTTGGGATTTGATAGCTGGTTTTTATTTGATTAATGTGTTGTTGAATCTATTACAAACTCATTTTAAATTATTTAATATTAAGCAAATACAAATATAATATATTGTTAATCAAAAACATTCATAAACTTTAATCTAATAATTAAATTTTAATTTCATTTATGAACAGAATACCTTATTGCCTCTCCAATTTTTCAAGTTCTAAGTCAACTCCCATATAATGGATAAAGAATAAGTTGAATCTCAAAAATACCAGAGGACAATTAATATTCAATGACATTGAAGCATACATCTTCGGAAATCAATTTAACTCAAGTAACAACCATACAATTTGTAGAAATTCAATGCGATCAAATTCTAATTAGATACAATTTTCTCATAGTTCATATCTGGCTTGTTCAATAGGCACTACAATAGCATTACCTAAAAAATTACTTGATTAAACAATAACTTGAAAGCATCCTATATAAATCAGCCTCCAATTATATCTATTAGTTTGATGTAATTCTTCAGTATCACATTTAGGATAATTACAATTAAGAAATGAAACAAGAACTTGAAAGGAATTAAGAAGTCTTATAATTTGTCTTGGATGATTATTATAACTATTAATTTAAGAAGAAGAGTTTAGAATAGATTGTATTTGAGTAACTACATCATTTCATTTAGAGATATTTTGCTTCGCCAACAATGTGAAAAACAAAAAGTAGACAAAATATGTACTTACATAACCAACAATGTACTTTTATTCTCCATATAATTTTAAGTACAATCATATGTTAAAATACGATCAAGGAGTCTTAAGGGGAGAAAATGAAAAGATCCTTTGGGTTGAATGAATATCAATTGTATTTAAGTAGAATTAGTTAATTTAATTATTATGAAATGTTATGGTATTTATGAAATATTTTCTAATTGGAGGTCAATCGGCTGGAAATGACCTTTAAAATAAATATAAAATTTTGTGTAATAATTATTTTAAGGGGAAGATAATTTCAGATCATCTATAACAAAAGATAAACCAATAATATTGATTTTTGAGTTTAATAACCGATTCAAGATTATCCATATGTTTTTAATAAATTAACTATATAAATATATTTTTAAAGGGAGAATTATAACAAATTATATAACATGTTTTTTTTTAAATTATTATTGATTATTTGCTCAAAATTTTCATAGATTGATATTTCCCTTTTTTTTCTAAAAACACTTCTTTCTAAAATTTTATACCTATCGATCTGTTGATAAAACAATAGAGTTAAATTTTATATTATTATTTTTAATTTATAATAATGATAGGAATATAATTATGTTGTTTATCAGAAGATTGCTTTCGAGTTTTAACGAATCAAGATAATTTGAATAATCACATAACTCATAGAATAGTTACTTCATAATAAATAATTGAAGCCTACAAAGTATCATATTCAATAATTATTGAATTAAGAGTAAAGCCTGTTAGAAGAATTATCAGATGGAGTGTATTTGGACTTTTTGGAAAAACAAAGTCATAAGCAGTCGAATTTGTAATAGTTCATCAAAACGCTGACCACTGAAATTTACGATTTTTAGTAAAATGTAATTTAACAGACAAAATTATTAATCGATCATTTAAATTCCATCGATGTAGGCCAATTAGTCGATTAGGAAATTATTTAAAATTATTAAAACATTCTAAATAGATCGATAGATTGCAACGATGTTAATCAATTAATAAAAATTGTGTAACCTCAGCATTCTTTCAATGAAAAATAGTTAAAGGATGGCAACAATGACATCTAAGGATTCGGAACAAGTTTGAATATCAATATTCAAAATAAGATAAAGATTATGAAACCCAAGTGTTTCTATAAGGATATTTAGGAGAAATCTTAAATATAAGGAGAACGAATCAAATTCATCTAATCAAAACTTGAGGAATTAAATGTGGATTTCACATCTAAACTGAATCAATGGACGAAAACTGTAGAATCCTTATTTTCATTCTAATAAATTTCATAATTTACATTGATACCCTAAACTAAGTCTAAAGTCATTAAGTCACCAGCTGTAGCTAGAATAGAGTTGCATAACCTATGCAAAGTATCATAATATGATTTATCATTCAGGATACTTTAATTTACGCTCATTCAAATTAAATTCACCTTTTTGACATTGACACTATGAAAATGAGTCATTCAGTAAAATTTAATCACTCTATTATTGATTACACAGTAGACTCAGAGAAACTTCTAATTGCAATAATGATTGGCATAGATTTGTTACTCTACAATCTTATTTCTTTGAAAAAGATTAGACAATTCAAAATAACTATAGACACAAATAAAGGAGTTGCTTTGAAATTCTTTGAGGTATTTCATTTTAGATTTAGTATAGAATTAAATCTGTGTGAGCTCTGGGGTTTCCCTATAATTTTTCCCCATTTTCCCTTCTTCATCTATGCCACAATTTAATCAATCTCTAAATTTTCATTCCTACTGGGATAAAATTCAGGTCTTGGAGTATTGTGTTATAAATAAATTTGGAGTTTAAGAAATGCTTCTTGTCTTGGGGACTACAAGTGGATTAATTTCACTATTTAATTCAAATTTCAAAGAATTGTTTTCAAAGCAGTTTCATCAAGGTCCAATTAATTAATTTAGATACCAATAATCAAAAAAATATGGTAAAGTTTTGTTGTCGGTTGGGGATGATTTAAGGGTGAATTTATATCAAATCGAGAATACTTTTCTCAAATGCATTTAAATGATAACATTTGAATCTCAAATTTTGGATGTGCTGTTATTCAAAAACTATTTTTTAGTCACAACTAAAAATTAAAATCTATTCGAAATTTATATGATCAATGAAAACACGGAATGTTAAAGAATTGAGATGGATGGAGATTTTGAATGTGATTGGAAGGACAGATTATTCAATATTGGTGAAAAAGTAGTTGTTGTAAAGAATTAAATTTACTTTTGTAAGCTTCTGTGAATCTTCTTTTAAAAAATGGATTATATATACTTTAAATCATTATTTTATATATTGCTATACATTTATTTTTAAAATTAGAAAATGCCTAGAAAGAATCCAATTCATAGATTGTTCTGCAGCTAAAATTGGACAATCAAATCATAAATTACACTATTCTCTATTCTTTATATTGCTTTCTGCATCTTGCTAACAACTACTCTGCTGATGATTTTCTTGAATTTTTCAAAGGACTCTTTATCAGAGAGCACATTATCAATGGAGAGGTTAGAAACAACAAATTAAATGTCTCGGTATAATACTCTCCAAACTTAATCTTTCAATAGAGTTTTGAATTTTAGTTACTAGACATTATCTAATATTGACAAATTAAATCACTTTATTGAAATGCAGGGATAAAACAATTTTAACATAATTTAACCAACTAATTGCATTGATAATCCGTAGCTGTGGGATAAATATATATTTAATTGTAGTTTATGTTACAAATTCTGTAACAAAACTATGTAAATAGATGAGTCTGATTATTAATAGTACCTTTCATTAATTTCTCTGATTACTCAGACTCTCCCAATTTTGAATTTATATAGATAAACATTTTTCACTAGCACAGGCTTTGAATAATTCTTTACTGTTTTTAAAGGGGGAAATTACACCAAGTTTGTAGCCCATATAAGACCTTGGTATATAAACCATATGAATAGAACTAAGTATGAAAATCAAAGATTCTACCTCTCTGACTTATATTTGGATTGGATTAATAAATTAGCGGTCGCCTTTACAGTGAGTTTGACTAACTTAAAGGGGGAAATGATTGGAGTGATTGGATACGATTTAGCGTTTGATTTGCTTCCCTATTTTGTGGATTAAAGACTCAAAATGGAGATTGTCAATTCAACCGGCCATTTATTAGTTAGTAGCTATTATGAGGAATTCAAGTATCCTACAGTCATTTATAATACTTCTCTAACAGGGTTTACAAAATATGATTGGCAGAAGATGAAATAGTTTGGAGACGATGAGAACTTAGGGAGAGGTACTTTGAGGGTTAAGAATCGCAAGACTATGGAATATAATGAGGTTTCAGTCTACAAACTGGTGTATCCTTAATTTTACATTATTATGTATTCATATGTATTAACTAGTTATTAAACAGATGATTAATTTATAAAGGATCAATAAGCAATTTTAGGTAATTTGGATAAGTTTGATGAAAGCATTTTATAGGGGACTATTTATTTTAGCTTAATAATTTTATTCTCAGTATTGTTGATTCAGTTCTTAATAATTAAGTATGTTTTAAGTCATTTAGAATCATTAGTTCTAATCACAAAATAATAAATATTCTTAAAACAACGAATCAAGAACAAAAGTGTAGCAATTAATCCTGATAAGGATAACACCATATCTAAATTATGTCGATCTTTCTTAAGATTAAATTAAAACTTAACCAACTTTAAATGGAAGAAATCTAAATTGTGCAGAACCATACAGAGAATCAATTACCCTAAGAAGAATTCTGGCATTGATTTCTCGATGTGTGAGAATTACAATAATAAAATCAAGGGTTTAACTCAGTAGTTAGAAAATTATGAGGACGACAATTTTGCAGGGTTCAGTCAAGATTTGTTTAAGAGACTCATATCCAGAAATAAGTATTTACATAAGTTATTTATATAAAAATATGGTACTCAGTGATTATTTTAATTAATTTTACTTCATATATTCGTTTTTAATAATTAATAAAACAAAATGAAAATAATCGTATTGATTGTGCTGCTGGGAGCAGCTCTGGCAAGAGACGAATACTTCTTTGCTTAATTGAGAGATTCAGAATTCGGAAAAACAATTATATAGACATTACAAGTATAATTGTTACAAGAACATCCTGCTGACACAGTTGTGCATCTCCTAAAGCAAATGAAGGATGATCTTCTCAATGAATAGAGAGCTGAAGATGAAGATGTGTAAGTGTCATTGTAGAGTTGCCAAACAGCATCCGAAGCAGCTGCTGCAGTCATAACAGTTGCCAAGGAAAGAAAAGCAACAGCAGAAGACAGATTGCCTCTATTGTAATAGGAACAAAATGACAAGAAATAACAATTGCTCGACAAACAAGGGGAAGAGTAAAGAAACTTGGATAGAATTAGTGTATTGCAAGAGGCTCGTAACGTGTAAAGAGTAAATTGAATATGTTAATCATTTTTAGGGTGAGTACGAACAAAGAAGAGACGAATTGGTAGGATTGATTTCAGCCTTACAAGAAGCCAAATAAATCTTATCTCAAGGAATCACTGCTTTGAAGAAGACTAGCTTTGCTGAATTGAAGAGCCATCATTAAAGTTTCTTGAAATATTATCCTCACAAAAAGGGTTTCCATACTATGGTCAACATGTTATTGGAAGTATTACAAGATGAGGGTACACAAGAAAGTGCAGCACAAAAGGTTGTTAAGATAATTGACACTCTTGTTGATAGCATCTTCCAAGTTTAAAAGGAAGAAATGAAGGCAGATGATGCAAGGGAATTAGACTTTTAAACCTAAAAAGAAAGATTACTTTTAGCAAACAGAAGACTGGCAGGAAGTATTGCAGATCTGAATGCTCGTTATGAAGTCTTGGGACAAAAGGTTTTGGAAGTCAGAAATGATGTTTCCACTTAAGATGCTGTAATTAATATCATATAATTATAGGTTATTAATAATAAATAGACTGAAAAAGGAGATTGGGATCAAACTTGCAATGACACTGAGAAGGCTCATAGACAATAAACGGAAGGAAGGTAGTTAATTCAATTAATAATTTATAGAAATTCTTAGCTTGAGATTATTGTTGAATGCATTGATATCTTTGAGACAAGATTCGACATGGAAACTAAAAGCTATATTCAACGCATAAGATTCTGAAAAATATTAATACCAATAAATAAAAACGGATTTTAATATATATAAATATATGAAAATTTCGATTTTATTGTCTCTACTAGTTTTAGGATGCCTGACAATGGACTTCGATCAATAGATTGAAGAATTATAAAGCTCTAAGTTTGGATAAACGATCCTTCAGACTATTATGATGGAGCTACAAACTGAAGACCCAGTTGTGTCTAATCTTATTAACATGGTGCAAGGGATCGAGAAAACTCTTGAAAACGAGTAGTAAAGAGATGACGATCGCATAGTTAGGATAAGATAGAATTGTGACATTGATATCACAACCCTCAATAATCAAATTAATCAAAATACCATTGCTTCCTTGGGTCTCAAGAGTCAACTTGATTCCTTGAATCCACAGAAAGTTTAGGCTGTAGCTAGTTTGGAACGAAAAAATACTGAAATCACAGATCTCAAGGCTGAGTTGCAATATTAATCTCATAAGCGGGAAACTGAGACTTCAGCCTATGAGACTATTTTAGACAATTTAGAATAAGCTTTATTCGGAGTTAACTAAGTGAAGGGATACTTCAATAGTTACTTAGATATTCTTGTCAAGAATAGAAAAAGATTTGAAAAGCCATCATTTTTGGAAGAATCATATAGTTTTAAATATGAGGAGTCCGAACAAGATGATTCTGAATCAAGATCATTAACCTCTTTAACCTAAGTTGCTTAAAAAGTCAATAAAATCAAACATCATGTATATCATATTACTAAATGTTAGGTGTAATTGGAGGGATATGCCACAATGCTCGAAATAATGAGTGAATTGGCTTCCAAAGCTGCAGACGAACCTTCTTAGGCTGAAGTCTTAACAAGAAAGGTTCTTTCAATTTTGAAACAAATTGAAAATTACATTCAATCCGAAAGAATCCGAGAGGATCAAGCAGAAGCTCTCAGATCAAGTAATTTCGACCTTCTCAATACTCTGTTATCTGATCAACTTGTGTAAGCCAATCAAGACAAGACATATATGGAAGGTACAAAAGAGTTTGTTAATCTTAGGTTTGGTTGCCTCCTTGTCCACTAGAATTACCTAAGGAACAAACGAAAAATTTGAAGTGGATTAGAAGGTAGCAATAAAAACAAAGGAATTGGAAAATAGGAAGACTGATTGCAGACTTAAGAACAATGAATATGAAACTGATACTTAGAATAGGTATTTTAAATTAATTTAATTTAGAATCAAATAGAAAAGAGTTGTTGTTGTGGCAGTTGATTTAATTTCATCCAAATTGGGCTAACTTAAGCGCAAATTGCTTGAAAATTGAATTATTATAAAATAGTGACATAATTAATTAAGAATAAATTTTTTCTTATTATGTAATCTCAAGATGAATACATCAGTTTGCCAAAAGTCAAATCTAACAAAATCGATAATTAGGAAATAGATTTGCATTGGAAGAATCTTACAGTAACAATTAAAATGGTAGAATTCTTATATATATAATTACAGAAGGAATAATCAAGGAGACCAAAAGTGACAGATCCTTTACTAGGATTAAATAATGAAAAAACAATTCTCAACAATGTCTCAGGATATGCAAAAGCTGGTCAAATGACTGCAATTATGGGACCATCCGGTGCTGGGAAGACAACTTTGGTCGCATTATTGAGCAAAAGATATAAACCTGGACCAAACACTACTATCAGTGGAGAAGTCTTAGCAAACAACAATAAATACAAAAGATTCAATGATTTTGGTGCTTTTGTGATCTAGGATGATTTGTTGATGGCAACAATGACTGTAAAAGGTATTTAATTTTTGATGATGTCAGAAACGTTGATGTTTGCAGCCAATATGAGATTGAAAGATGATTTAGCATAAAGAATGTCTAGAGTTGATTAGATAATCAAAGATTTGAATTTGAGAGCCTGTTAAAATACTTTGGTGGGAGATAACATCATCAAAGGCATTTCTGGAGGAGAGAAGAAAAGAACTTCCATCGGTATGGAATTAATTGGCGATCCACCTGTTTTAATCCTAGATGAACCAACTTCAGGCTTAGATTCCTTTACTGCATTTATTTGTATGAATATTCTCAAGAAGATCACAATTAAGTATTAAATTTTAAGATTAAATTTAGTCAAAAAAGGACAGTAATTTTTACAATACATCAACCAAGTCTAGATATATGTCAATTATTTGATCGCATGATTATTTTAAATAATGGTTAAACAATCTATCAAGGAAATTATGGTTTTCTATTGGATTATTGTAGACAAATTAATTTGAATGTAGATATCCATTCAACTCCTTTAGATTCCATAATGAATAATCTTAATGAAGCCTTTAATTAAGGAGATAATAAAGTCACTCATGCAAATTACAAAATATATCTAGAAGAAGATGTCCTGAAATTCCATTCTTAATATCAAGGTTATCATAAAAGAAGAACTTAAACATCATTCTGTCAAGAAATGAAATTTCTCATGAAAAGATAATTCATTAATTATGTCAGAAGTCCTAATTTACTAAGAAGTAAAATATTTGGATCAGTCTTCATGTTGTTATTCTTGGGATGGCTATTTTGGATGGTGGGAAAAGATCAACCTCCCCAAGATGAAAATGTAAGCATTGATGACCTAAGCAAATACTTAAACAACATGAGAGGAGCTTGTTTTGTTTGTGGAACTTCAGCAATATTCTCTGCCCTAGGACCATTGTTAATGTTATGTATAGTATTCGTTCTATTTTAGTCCCCATTGAAAGAAACATTTTCTTAAAAGAAGAGAACTCTAAGATGTATCGAGTCTCTTCCTACTTCTTGAGTAAGGTTATGTTAGAAGTACCCATGAATGTTTTTATTTAAATCTTATTCTCAATAGCATTATATGCTGCTTTTGGATTTATTTGGGAACTTGAAAACGTTATACTCTTTACTGTTATAAGTGTTTCCGTATCTTTAAGTGGCAACGGATTAGGAATGTATGAACATCAACATTATCAATAGATTTACTGGATGTTTATTTAAAGATGCCAAACAATCTGCTTCCTTAGGTCCAATACTCTTGATTCCACTTTAAGTATTTAGTGGACAGTATGCCAACTTGGCTTCTATTCCTAAATTTATAAGCTGGGTCCAATACATCTCAGTATGATATCTGTCATATACTTAGCCATTTAAATATTTCTTAGAAGGATTCGGTAGAACATAATTAAATGATGCCATGTTTCATTTGGATCCTTCAGGAGTTGAATTATCTCCATGGACATACTATGGAATGGATTTTGGAATGTGGAATTGTGCCATAGTTTTAATATCTATTGCTGTTATGTTTCATGTATTTGGTGGTATCTTTTTAAAACTCTTAGTCAATAAAATTAATGTTTGAGTTATTTCATATTTAAATTTATCAATTTGGATATATTAAAGATTCTCATAAAGTTTATAGGGTAATGATTTTATTGCAATAATTATATTTATTTATATCATAAATGAGTAATGCTTTCAAATCAGCTGGCAATAATCTAACCAAAGGGGATCTAGGATAAACTGGTTAAAGTTTTGCAGGATCACAAAACCCTGCCTCACTCAAAGGAAAATTGATGAGTTTAGAAGTATCCAAATTGTTTATCAAAGGAAACAATTAAAGGGATTCAAGATGAAATGAATTTCCATAAAAAAGAGGTCTAAATATTGAAATCTGAAAAAGATACTCTAGAATCCGTCTTGAGCATGAAAACATAAGATGTTAAAAAAACCCTCACAAATGAATTAATGAGAATTGAAGAAGAAATGAAAAGGTAGTATCATTTGATCATCATTTTAGACATTTTGCACATTAAAAGGCTGAAAATTCTAGATTGTAATAACAAATAACAGCATTAAAAGGTGAAAAAACTGCATTGTAACAATAATTGCTCGGATTACAGAGAAGAATAGCAGAACTTGAATTACAAGTTGGTTAAGAATAAGCATGATAATTATCATATTCATATATATAAATGATCACATACATATGTTGTTTTTACATTTTCAGCTTATTCCTTGCTCGTAACACCTGTAGTTACTAAAATAGTATCTATTCCACAATTCCATCCAAACTCAATATCTGTTTCAGGATTGTCGCCAATCATGACCACTTTTGATTTATCATCAATTTTATTTTGTTTCATTATAACTTCCAGAGCTGTTGGTGAAGGCTTGCCTACCAGGAGGGATTTCTATCCTGTTGCTCTTTCCAAAATTGCTTATATGCATCCCCCTGCTGGCATCAATCGATTCTACACCTTAATATAGCTGTCAGGATTTGCTGCCACAAATTTACATCCCTTTTAGATGCATAAGCTTGCATAACAAAGCATATAATAATTAAATTATGGATTGTGGCCTGAAACAACACAATCAATATCTTCGTCAGGTTGTATACTATTAAATATGTCATACGTAACGTATTGATTGTCTTTAAACTCCTCAGAATCTCTTGTTTTAATTCCCAAGGCTGATAATTCCTCGGTTATTCCAGTCACTCCTAAATTAAAGGCTTTTTTGTAATTATTCATTTTTAGGTACACTGCAGTTAAATATGAACTTGAATAGATATGCTCCAAGTCTGTTTTTATGTCTATGTTTGATAATATTTCAAAATAAGACTATCTGCTTTTGGTTGAATTATTTGTCAAGAAATAAACTGATTTCCCTTATTCAATTAAATGCTTAACTCCATTAACTCCGCTCTCGATGAATTATCCGCCTGTCCACTTATATATAATATGATATTGATACAATAACACCGTCCATATCAAAAATAAAATGGTCATATTTGTTAATAATATCTGTCACAGATTTAATTTTAATTGACATTATATAAAATAAAATTAATAATCAATATTAAGATTGTTGAGATTTTTCCATATGCTTAATATTTGCATTAAAATTTTTTATTGAATTACATATTCCCACCCTATTGCTATTATCATCGTTTACTATTGATCTATCTATTCCTTCACTTTATAATTTCACTTTCCTATTAGTATCTCTAAATAATTAAGGAGCACAATTCTTATGAACACTTTACTATAACTATTAGTAATTAGGCTAAGTATGTTGACTTGACTAAATTTACTATGTTGATTCTTAATACTATTTTAATTCTCTCTAGCATTGACTAAGATAATTCCATAATTTACATTAATTTTTATTCTAATTTTAATTTCTCTGTAATTTAATATTCTAATTATTGCTAAAATATTTCTTTATCTTTTTGCTATTCCTATTCTATTAATTATAGTAATTCTTTGTCGTTTTGTTCACACATATAAAACTCAAGATCTTCTTTTAATTATGAAATTTCTTATTCGTATTTTTGTTTTTGCTCAATCATGAGTTTTTAGAATTGATTTTAAAGATTTTCCATTTCAATTTAATGCTAAGCCTTTAATTCCCTAATTTAAAGCATGCACTCTTTCTTAAGTTAGAGCACTTATTATTTGCATTAACAAGATTGCTATTTATTTTTAAATAAATTTTCTTTTTCATTATCAGAAATAAATGATGATTAATCTTCTGATTCTCTTGTTTAATCCAATTCTCTCCTATTCTACTTTTGAAACATTTTAATAGATTGCCAAATTTCTTCTTTTTTCAGCATTGTCTGTTATTTTTAATTTAATTAATTATACAAACAAAAATTTATTCATTAAACACTTTTTTATTATATTCTTCTTCTCCATTAGAATTGCTCTATTATATCCCTAATACACACTGAGATAGTCCATAATTAAAAGAACATTATTATAATCCTAAGGATTACATATTTATCAATAAAAAGGGAGCTTAGAAGGTGTTTTTATTTCAAAATAGTCATTATTTGATGTTACTCTTACAATATACATATTAATTGAGATTTTTTGGATATGTGTTTTATTACGGCTAATAACAAAGCATTTCTCCTGAATTGATGTATGAATCAAAAGGCCATATATTTAGGAAATAGAATTTTTAAGTATTATTCTCTTAGATCACCTACAATTTTTAAACCAAAAGAGTTTGTTATTTAAAAACCTTCCCAATAATATTTATTCATGAGTTCTACATAATTGACTTGTTTAACTAGAGTAACTCCTTCTTAGTACATGAAGACTAATTTAATAATTATTTCGATTTTTCTCTAAACATTTTGCTAAATCTGAATGATACTATTAGATAGCTTTAATATCTTCTTATAAGCATGAGTTGAAACATTCAATATTATATAAAGAAACTTATTTTATATTGAGTAATCATAGCCACTTTTTAATATTAATTTAAGTCTCAATTAAAAATAATATGCTTGATTCCAAATACCTTTTACTATTTATTCACTTATTATGCATTCATATGTCAATTATCCTTGCAACTGTCCATTTGCAAATTCTCCGAATACACATGGACCGTATATTTATTCCAATAGACCTTTCTATGAATTTTATCATTTCAAATGTGCCATTATAAATTTTCCAATATTATTTTTCTTATATCTTATCATTAGTTCTGTTTGTATAATATTCAACTCCATTTCCACTCTTCTTCCCTTATTTCCGCTCCCCCACATCTAAAAGGAGTCTTTCTTTGCTTATGGCTCCATTACCAGGTATATTTCTTTGTAAATATTGTCCACAATACATTGTTCGATCCTCCAGATACGTAGTTATAATATTTTTAGCCAATTCAACATGATTACTCTTGAATTGCTTTATTCCACAAATATTCAACCTTTGACCCTAGATCACTCTTGGGAAATGGAACTATTGCTTTGTAAATATCTTCTTGTTTTGTGGAGTCTTTTCCAGTAAAATTTCAGGAATTTATATTGGGACTATTTCTGATTCAGCAACAGATTAATCATATTATTTGAATTTAATTAGGCTTCTCGGCTCATTGCTCTCTTTTTCCTCAATTATACTTGGCTTCTTTCTATTAGGTTATTTAGAATTTGAAGTATTGCTGTTAAATGAAACAATATTATCCATTTAATTATTTAATGTTGAGATCTAAAGAGAGCAAAGAAGCTGAGATTTATGATTGTTTAAGTAGAGATGGTACGTCTAATCTTAAATACAAAAGACTCTATCATTATTAATGATATGGAAAATTTGGGTCCATGGCATAAATATGGAGGTAGCATACATTAAGAACTTTAAAGAATCTCCTCATTGTAATTATGCAAGTCAGTCTCTGAACATCACACTGACAAGATCATAAATTCCACCAGGCATATTGCACAATTGCAATCAGGTAGAAGGCTATCATAAGAGAATATAAAGCAAACGTAATTTCCATTAGATGACAAAATTATGAAATCAACATCAACCCACTATGAATAAAAAAGCAGAACACAACTAATGAAATAGCTCAGATCTCCTAAGCCCAAAGATAGTTCTCTAATCACTACAAAATAGGAAGAAACCAAAACTATGAATATCAAAGCAGAGAAAACCAATGTGGGCTTCTTTGTTCAGTGTTATCCCAACAGAAATAAATTTGAGAGGTCCAAATTGTCAAATTTCTAAACCTCAAAGGAGTATTTCGAAGTAAGTTAATGTTTATTATTTAAGAGAAAATAGCATTGAAATTGATGTATGGTCTTAGCAGGGATTAAACTGTTGAGACAATCCAAACTGCAAATCCAAATCAATAATTTATTAAATAATAAGAATAGTAAGAAAGGAACTCTCAATCAAGAGTAGGTCCTTAAACAATAGGCAGAAATTATTTTTATAAAAAAGAACTCAAATTTCATAGCAACAATACATCTCAAATAAATCTAAACAAAACCATCAATAATTCCATCAATTCCATTTTAAATCAGCCGTAAAACATTGCAAAATAGAGAATCCCATTTCATAAACTTATTAATAAAAAAACTGTTATTTCGTTTGCATCCCAAAATTAATTATTGGAAAAATAGTATTAGCAATCTTAATAATAAAATAAAAAGATTTAAAGAATGGTTAGCAGTTGATCTATAATTGTATTAATATTTTTTGATAGATTCCAATTTATTATTATATATTTATATATCAAAATGATCTGAAATTCTTATCTATTTTTATGCATGCATCTTCTAACAATTTTAGTAATGCTTCAGTTGTTGCTTCTCTTTCCCTTCTTTCAAAATTAATATCTTATTGTAATTTGCCATGCACATCTTCAATCATTCTGAATATTTTTCCTTGAGTCTCCTCTCTTACTTTCTTTTCAACAAGCAATTAATCTGAGAATTTATTAATTTCGCTATCAATTTATTCAGATAATGATTCAGCTGATTCCTCCCTATATTTATATGGATTCTAAAGTACCTTGATCTTCTTTCTTAATCTAATTAATTTTTAACAACCTAGATTTGTTAAAGAACCTCTCCAATTTTAGCCTAGCTTCTGTCTTCATATTAATGAGTGTTTCTGGTGATAGTTAAAGTGATCTAGGCAAAACGCTCGTCGATTTGCTTCTATAACTTTGTCTCGCCTTATCCTCTAATATTTCTTTCTTATTCGAAGGAGAGTGCAATGTTATCTGATAATGTTCTAAAATCTTTCTCCTTTTTGTCGTCAAATGCCTAGAGAATATGGTTTCAATCATATACTTCTCTATCCGATTTTTAATTGTGTGCTTAATCTTATAATTTCAAGACTGAATCCTTAATGACTTTGAATTTTTATTCATCTTTTGGTTTTTCAGATGCAAGTACGTCTTCAATTATTTTGATTCGTTCTTCCAATACTTCTCTTTTTTCTAGCTTATCTTTGTCAATTCCATTTTGAATGTGATTCCATTTATCTGAGAGCAATTTAATTCTCTGTCTAGATGGGGAATCAAGATCTTAACTCAAATAGTTGATGGTGGATCTCTAAGGACTTGATAATTGAGATTTAGTAAGTTTGGAAGTCGTTAATTTTGATGTTGAAAGTAGCATATGATATTTTTAATTAATTTTATTTACGATTTATCAATTGTAACTTTACCCCTATAAAATGTTAATAATATATAATAATTAAATGAATCAAAGTTAAACGATTTCAACTCTAAACACCTCCATTCAAAAAGCCAAATCTGATTTCCAACAAATCACAACTTAAAACAGGTATACATTACTCTTGAACTAGATCTCTCATCTCACAAATGAAAATTGATAATTCCGAATATACAGATTAATTGATCAATCAAAAATAAAAAAATACAGTCGTAGATACTTAACTAGCTTTGAGTGTGATTAAGGCTTAAGAGGAGTGTGCTTTGATCGCTTAAAAAATTGAGATAGAAACCAAGAAGAAGGTATAAAATCACTTATTGTTTTTAGTAAGACTTGGAAAATCTAGTGAACGCAATGAAAACAAGTGCAAAGGACATCTCAAAAATAGAAAATACAAATTCTGGCAGTGAGTTAACTTAGGTGTAGAAAGTAAAACAGACATTTATAGTGATAGGCAGTTCGAGATGCAGAATTGAAACTGTAATAGATTCACATTAAACACAATGAGTAATTAGCAGAAGTAGAAGCAGAAAAAGAATAATTGAATCTCAGCAGAAGGGAAAGAGTCATTTATTCAACTGTGTTTAAAGGAATTGAAAAAGATGCTATTTTTAAATAAAGAGAATATTAAAATTGTATAAGATAAAACGAATTACTCAAAGAGGAGGTAACACACAATCATATTAAATTTAGTAAAAATTTCTACAGGATTAATTGAAATTAATTAAGGAATTAGCTGATAAGGAGCAAAACAAATTCCAACAAGAATATGAGGCCTTATTCAAACCTTAAAAAGATGAGCAATAGGAACAATAAAGCATGGCTTCAGATCAAAAATCTTAAGTTTAAGGCCCTTATCTAACAGAATAAGGGGATTAATCAAAACCAATACTAAAAGAAAGAAGTGAATCATAATAGGAATAGAAAGATGTTGCTTAGTAAGTACTTGAATATGAGGCTTAATTTAATAAACTGTATTTGGAAACAGGGTTCAACAATGTTGAAGCCATACTGAAATAATATTATAATTAAGAAATTTGGATTGATGAAATCTATAAGGAAATCAATGAGATTAATTAAGAAGTATTAATATTATTATCCTTAAGATTGAACAAACTGAATAAAAGAATGAGAAAATTTAGTAATATTTATAAAGGTTTAAATAAATGGCAAAGGCTCCAATCAAAGAATAAGTAAATTCAGAAGATTCTAAGATTGAAAGAATTTCAAGAGGCATAGACTAAAATAAAAAACAAATAGCTTAAATTTAGTAACAGTATATGAGGATTCAAGAATAAATAGGAGTCGAAATCATAAATAGTGATGATGATGAGACTACCCTTTTGCCAAAAATAGAACAATTAGAAAAGATAATAGACAATATTTTATTAGTTTCAAATCAATATGTTCCAAAATAGGATCAAAAGAAACAAAAGAAAGGAACAGTTAAGTTTGAAGATGATAGGAGTGAAGTATCAGGAACTAAATAACAAACAGAATTAAAATCTTTAACTGATCACTAATTAGAATTAGACATTATTTTGACAGAGGGTAAATATCATTTAAAATTTTATAGTTGAGAAGAAAAAGACTTTGGCTGAATCAAGGCATACAAAGGAAGAATTATCAAAAGAAAGTGCTGATTAAATGGTATTTTCATTAAATAAAAAATCAAATTCCAAAAGATCAAAACATCAACAATCCCAATATTGAAAATATTAATTTGCATATATAGATTTCTAAATCATTATTTCTCCCACTTAACAACAATTTAATCAATGTCTTAAATTTTTCATTTTGAACTGTCTCAATTATTTAACTTAATTATGTCTTTTACCAGAGGTGTATTATGATACTTTGGTTCTTATGGATAGCAAACTTTTTGGGTGTGATTTTTCTTCCTAATTTATGAATTGTTATTCATTATAATTAATATTTATTTTATATACGTTTTTATTTTCAATATAGAGAATAATGAATGCATCGCATACAGAGTTTATAGAAAGCTATATTGATTAAAGCAATAATTATAGCAAAACGAAACAAATTGATAAAGCAGTATAAAATAATGGAATACATATGAAATAATAATCCATCCTAAGATATCTAGTTTTATTTTTGTCCATCTGGATAATTATTCCTTCATTTTATTGCTTCGACTAACCAGTGGCAATATATAAAACTCTTTAATAATTGTTTTAAGAAGATTCAACGATAAATTTCGACTTGTATTTTGCATCTCTTTACATAATCTATGCCTTTGGGAATGCATTTTTGCCTCTTTTCACAGGAGGAATGAGAGATTGTCATGGAGACAGAATAATTATGACTTATATAGTAGGTGTAAATATTAATAATTATTATAGTTATTATGATAGTAGGATAACTGACTTTCACAGTAGGAGTTTATTTTAAATCGTTTTTATTGATGATCTTAGGTAGATTACTTTTAGGTTGGGGTATTGAGTCATTGTTACCATTATGGGCATCTTTTTTGGCCCCCTTTTTTAAGAATAGCATTGTAACATTGAATTATGTATATAGTCAATAGTTTTGAGTATTTTACAACTATTTTCATAAATCGGTTTAGTGCTATCTATATATCTAACTCCAATTATTTAAAAAAAATACAATTTGATGGCATCCTTAATAAGCGGAATAGCATTCATATTATTTGGCTATATTTTATTATGTCTTGGCTTTTTAATAGATAAGAAGTTGGAAAACGAAAATTACTTGTCCTCCTATAGACAGCTTCAACCGAGCAGTGACATTATATTAGCAGAAGATACAAAAATTATTTATAAACTCTATTTCTTTAAATTTAAAGATTTTAAGATTTTCCCATAAATGTTTTGGCTACTTTTAGCTTTTAATTCAGTTTTTTATTGCTCAATAGTCACGCTTGTGAATGTATCTATGTATGTTATGGCGTCGGTTTTATTTGACATTAATAATCAAATTGAAGAACTAGATATTGCATTATTTTGGATGTTAGGTTGTTTATCACTATTTATTATCGGTCCTTTGGTCTAATATTTTACCTATAGAAGGTATTTGATAATAGTTTCTGTTATAATTATCATTATTGGACATATATAATACTTAACCTCACCTCATATAGGTCTAATTATTTTAGCAGTTGGCTATTGTTTATCTTTTGTTTGTACTTGGAGTGCAATTATCTACATTATTAAGATGAAATCATTTGGCAAAGCATTTGGCCTTACAGTAGGATTTCAAAATTTGATTTTTGTGTTTATGCCTTTCTTGCTGGATATTGTAAATAGAAATATCATGGGAACTTTTAAAGTTTTAATATCATTTTCTTTATTTGCTTTAATTATAGCAATTCAGATTCTAGTTGAAGATATAAGATGTTTCAAGTAATATTAATTTTTATTTCATAGCATTTTAGATAATAAATTGGCTCCTATGCAATTTGCAAAATTTAATAATGCAAGTAATGAAGAAAATAATAATAATGATACTGATTTATTTGCAGAATACTTAGAAAAGCCACAATGAGAAATACAATTTATAATTATTAAAAAGTATTAAAATAGACTGAATTTTCTTAGTTTGTAATCGATGTTTTTTCAAAGAAAAAATAGTTAATTTATATTAAATCAAATATTATAATATTTATATAGTAGTCTCAAATATTTACTTCCTTTAGGGGTCTTACAATAATTTGACTGGATTAGCTGAGTTAACTTGATTTAGTATTTGTAATATTTTCCTTATATAAGGATGATTTGCGAACCTCAAAACTTGTTGATTCCTAAATTATTTAATAATAGAATTACCTTAACTACAGTTGCGTTTCCTCTTTATTTAAATGCGTCAAATTCTGCTTAAACCATCATTAAATCCTCTTATGTCTTATGATAATCCTTATTTAAGACTATGAATTTTTTCTTCCAAGTTTCAACTTCATTTTAATAATAGGTGATTTTTTCTTCAAATTAAACTACTTCATTTGATTGGATTGACTCATATTCTTTAATTCTTTATTCAAATTCATTAATTTATTGTTATTTCTTTGCTAGTTCTTCAATAAGTTTATCTAATTTAAATTTAAGTTCTGACTCTGTATCTATTCTAATCTCTAGTTCCTATTTTAGAGCTTTGTTTTCAACTAATAAGTGATCAACCTTAAATTAATTTTCAGCATTCTCTGACTGAAGATCTGTCAATTATTTTGTTAAGAATGAATTTTTCTTTGATAACTCTTCCTCTAATTATTATTAATATTTTAAATCACCAGTCATGCCATCAATTTATTTTGACAAAGTTTCGATCACATGATTTTGTTCTTCAATAAAAGACTTAAAAGAAAGATTTTCGCTTTCAAATCTAAATAATTTCTCTCTTTGTTATGTCAATGCTTCATTCATTTAAAATTCTATTTTCTTTTATTGTTCTTCAGCTTAAAGTTCACTTTCTTCAAGCTATTATTTCAATAATTTGATTTCTCTCTAATATTCATCTAACACAGTAGTTTGTTCTTAGATTAAATCATTCTTTTAGTTGATTTAGAATAACATTCTTTAAATCTCTGAAGATAATAAGGATAACTTTTCTTCGTATTCGTATATCTTTTTCTCTAAATCCTTAATTGCTTGCTAGGTAGTCTATTTGTATTAATTGAACTTATCTTGTAAATCTTTAAGCTCATTCAACTTTTCTTCATAATCCTTTTATAATCTGGATCTTATCGTCTATAGTTAAATATTGTTTTAATCAAGTTATTCAATTTGGATTCTTAAATTTGAGTATTCCTCACCAGATTTATATCTTAATGAATTCAATTCATTTTATTACTAAGTTATTTATTGTTATAATGAACTTATGACAAGATTCAATTCAGTAATTGTTGATTCTAATGAGTTCTTTTTTTATTATAACTAATTAGAAGTAATTAATGCATCTTCTATTTCTAATTTTAATTTATGATTCTCATCTTAAAGCTTCATTTTGTATGTATTATATTCACTATATAATTAAGTATATTGGTTTTTCAAACTTGAGATATCATTTATTTTTTCATCTACTGTGTTCTGCAAGATTGAATTGACATTATTTAATTAATTTAACTCATTTTACAGATCCTCATTATTGATTCTAAGCTAATAGTTTTCTTCCTAAAACTTTTTAGTAATCACAGTTAATTCCAATTAATATTAAGACTTATTTTACTCCAACTCATCATTTTTGGATTAGAGTTCGAAGTTGAAATCTTACTAAATAGAACTTAGCTATTAATTGAGATCCAACTTTAACTTTTCAATTGTTTTATTTAAATCTGTTTATTATTATTTTAATTTTGTAATTTGATCTTACAATTTTGCATTTTCTTACTTGGACGTTTCTAATTCACCTTATAAAATATTTCGATATTTTTAAAGATCATCAGATTCTGCTTAATGATAATCAATTTACTGATTGGCAGAATCCAATCTAAGCATGAGGTTGTCGATTTCCTTATATTATGCTTAAATTGTTGTTTATTGTTCTTGCAATCTCATTTCTAACAATTAAATGTTACTTCTCAACTATTATAATTGTTGCTCCTTTTATTCCAAAATAAAAGTATATTATTCAATTGCTTGTTTATCTTGATTCAAAAGGAATATATTTCTTTCCTACTATTATATGGTTTCCAATTATCTATCCAACTCTGATCTGATAAGAACTACTTGATTACATGCTTCTTAATATTGTTTTCTCAATTTAGATGAATTATTTTCTAAATTTTCAACGATATTTTCCTTATTAATTAATTCAGAATCTAATTCATTTATTTTTTGGGTCAACTATTCTACAAAAGTGTTCTTCTCCAAAATGATCATATTTAACCTTTCCATTTCTGTAGTTAGTAAAGTAATTTAATTTTCATAATTCTCATTATTTGATTATTTTTTTAATTACTAAGTCAAGTATTTTACTTAATCATCTGAATGTTAGAATTGGGTCTTGTATTATGTAATTTCTTAAGTAAGGTATTCAATCTCAGATTTGTGATTAATTTACGATTCTTCATACAATCTCTTAATGTTATCTATCTCACAAGAATATGTATTAGTGTGTTGTCGTTGGCAGATAGATGTGGACTCTATTTCCTATTGAAGTTCAAAAATTCTTTAATGTAATTACTGGTTCTCTTAAGTCAATTATTCAATATGCTATTCATGTCCTTAGCATCTTTTATCTGTGCATAGTCTTACTGTTCTTGTCTCAATGACTGGTCTAAATGTAGTTGTTGTTGTTATTGTAGTCTTTGGTCTTGTGGAGTAGGTTGTTATTTTTGTTACTCTGCTATTCACTGATGAATCAGCTCTTTGATCTCTTATATTTGAGTGAGGGGAACTTACTAATCTAGTTGTTGTGATTGTTGATGTAGGGATAAATTTCGATGTGGGAGATTGTGCTCTCATTTTTCTTGATGTCGTTAAAATTAAATAAATATATAACAGTTAATGATAATTAAACCACTGAAATAATGAAAAATTTGAGTAATTTTAATATGGTTAATTTTAATGATATAATTTATTGTTGCATTTCGTGGTTTATTGCTTATTCGTTAAGAAATATAGAGAATTGTAGACTGATTGTTTAAAGTAAAAATTTGATTCAAAATAACCAGCCACAAATGATTAACATAATAGTAAGGATAAAGAATCAATAAAATAAGTTTTACAATGGTAATTTACTCACCATATATACAAAAATAGTTTAATATCTATTTTTTCAACTAATTCAATTGAAAATAATTAATAAAATTAAGAAAAAAATTTTATGGCTCCAAAATTCTTTGTTATGCTACCATATTAGGAAATTCAAATCTATGATATGGGCTACATCTTAATCATTTCTATGCTCACTTTCTTGAGTCCTTGTTATTTAATATATCTCAAATTCTCTTCTGAAGAGATAAAAATTATGTTAAGGAAGCTCATAAAATTTATAATTCAACAAAAATTCTTTTAAATACTTTTTTCATTAATGTTTCTCCCCTGAAATGAGAATTTCAAAGTTCTAAAAATAGTACTTTAATTTATTAAAAGATTACAAAGTCATATACTTCAAATCTAAAGATGTCAAATAATTTCAATCGGAGCTCATCAGAGATCATAATAGCTTATGTTGAATAATAGTAATCATCTTGTTTTATAACTAAAGTTAAGAATTACAATTATTAGATGCTTAAAGAGAAATTTCAAAGCTAGAAGAAGAGATAATTGAAAGACGTAAAAGATTATTAACGAATGCTGATAACCACGGCATAAAAGCAAATATTGAGAAAAATACGAATGTTTCAACTCTTTTGAATATGGTAATACTAACGACATATGCAAGGACGAACATTATATTTCGTTTGAAGAATTAGAAAAAAAGCTATAGACTTCAATACAAAGAGGATTAAACAGTGATCAAATAGAAGAAAAATAAAAATAATTTGGAAAAAACAGGGTGACCTAAAAATAGAAGTCTCCATGGTATATTTAGTTACTGCACGAGATGACAAACGTGTTTTCCTTATTATTATGGGGAGCAGCTACCTTGTGTTTTTTAGCCTATGGTTTATCCCCAGAGGACCCTTCTTAAGTATTTATGAAATTTAAATTAGCTTTATTTAGGAATTGTTTTAGTTGGTGTCATTGTGATAATAACACTTTTAACTTATTTTTAAAATAGGAAGTCAGAAGCAATAATGGCTGGTTTTTCAAACTTTATTCCTCCAGAGGCTGTAGTTATAAGAGATGGATAGCAATTAAAAATACCAGCTATTGAATTGGTTCCTGGGGATGTAGTAATAATTGATTTGGGGAAAAAAATACCTGCTGATATAAGAATCATCGAAAGTAATCAAATGAAAGTTGATAATTCATGCTTAACAGGGGAATCAATTGCAATCATACGAACAATAGAATGTACTCATAAAGAGAATCCATTAGAGACAAAGAATCTTGCATTTTTTGGAACACTTTGTAAAGAAGTAAAATATTAATGTTTATTTTAAGGGAAATGGAAAAGGAGTAGTGATATCAATAGGAGACAAAACTGTAATTGGGCAAATAGCAGGATTAGTTTCTAATGCAATAGTAGAAGAAACACCCTTAAAAAAAGAGCTAAACTAATTTACAATATATATTGCTCGAATAGCTATGACAATAGGAATTCTCTTCTTTGTTTTGGGTTTTTCAGTCGGTTATCGTATTATATATATTTATAATAAGCGGTTATATAAAACTTAATCTTTGCGATAGGAATAATATCTGCAATAGTTCCAGAAGGTTTATTGGCCACAGTAGTAGTAGCTCTGGCAATTACTGCAAAAAAGTTGGCAAGTCTTAAGGTTTTGGTTAAAAATTTAGAGGGGGTTGAAACTCTTGGGTCTACCTCTTGCATTTGTTCTGATAAAACAGGTACCTTGACTTAAAATAAAATGACTGTGGAAAATTTATGGTATAATAGAAAGTAGGTGAAGGGAGCTAATAAAGAAAGATTTGGGGCCTCCTATAATTATGAATATTAAACTGGAGAGTAGTGTTTCGATTTGTTACATGAAACTGCAATTCTGTGTTCAGAAGCTACGTTTGATACTTCACTACCTTAAAATATTTCAATGAAGATAATGAACGATGTTGGATTATCCTAGGTATAAAAAGAAATCAAATTAGAAGAAGCAAAGATCAAATGGTAAAATAACTACTAGAGGTTAAGCTGTTAAGAAAAACCTACAATCGGAGATGCATCTGAAACTGCTCTCATTATCTTTTTTTAACCAATACATGATATTTTACAAACTAGATCTAATTACTAAGTGGCAGAGGGAAAAGATAACTAATTGGCAAGAAAACCTTTTAATTCAACAAACAAATATGCTATTGTTATTATTGAATAAGATTTGGATGATTCTTATTATTGTTTATTGACAAAAGGAGCCCCAGAAAGAGTTTGGAAAATGTGCAATCGAATATATAATCAAGGAAAAATTGAAGAAATTAATGAAGATTGGGATCATTAATTTAAAGAAATAAATAACAAATTTGGCAATTAAGGTGAAAGGGTTTTGGGATTTTGTAGATTAGATTTACCAAAATCTGAATATCCAAAAGGTTATTCATTTAACATGGACAATTATAATTTTCCATTTGAATAACAAATATTTATAGGTTTGATATCCTTAATTGATCCTCTAAAGGAATCTGTTCCCTTAGCGGTTTAAAAGTGTAAATCAGCAAATATTTAAGTTATAATGGTTACAGGAGATCAACCAGTAACTGCAGCAGCAATAGCAAAGTAATGTAACATTATAACTGAAAAAACTGTAAACGAAATAATGGAAGAAAAATAGATGACTATGGAAGATGCTTTTCATTTATCAAATGCATTAGTAATTCATGGAGATTTACTTACGAAAATGGCACTTGATGATGAAGGATTACCAGAAAGTGAAAAAGGGAAATCTCTTTAAAAGTGGCTAAGTAAACCACAATTAGTATTTGCAAGAACCAGTCCTGCTTAAAAACTAATTATTGTGACTGCTTGCTAAAAGAGGGGCCACATAGTTGCTGTAACAGGAGATGGAGTGAATGATTCACCTGCAATAAAGAAAGCTGATATTGGTATTGCTATGGGCATAACAGGATCAGATGTCGCCTAAGATGCAGCAGATATGATACTTTTGAATGATGATTTCTCAAATATTGTTGTGGGAATTTAAGAAGGTAGAAGAATATTTGATAATTTCAAAAAAGTAATTGCATATGCATTAACTGCCAATACAGCTGAATTAATTCCATTTTTAGCCTTTATAATTTTTAGACTCCCATTGCCTTTAACAACTATTTTGGTTTTATGTGTCTAAATTGGTACAGATATATTTCCATCAATGGTATTTGTATTTGAAGATGCCGATTTGGATATTATGACCCGAAGACCTAGGAATAGCAATGAGCATTTAGTCAGTAGCTAATTAATAATATATGCATACGCTTAAAATGGGGTTTTAGAAACCTGCTGTGGATTCTTTTAGTGGTATGTTTGTTTCAACGATTTTGGATTTACTCCTTAATCTCTCCTTTTTCTACTAAATAAAGAGGGAGTTATTCCTAAATATAATGATATATATGATCCAAGTGATCCATGGTTTGGAAATTCTAATTTAAGGGATTTATACCCAAACAAGATATGTGAAGGAACTTAATTAAAAGGGTCTTAAGAAATTGATTGGATTTATGCGAAACATGGAGCTTATGATTTAAGAATGACTCTCTTGAAATGTGAAAATGGTTAGATAGTTTCTAGTATCGAATGGGGTTCATGCAATATTGAGATGATATCACCTGTAACAAATAGGCCATATTGCTATCACACAGAAGCCTCAAATTATGCATAAACATCATTTTTTTTTGGTGTGGTTTTAGGATAAATATGTAATTATTAATCCTTAAGATAACTTAAGAACTCCTTTATATATAATGGTAAAATATAAGTTTTATTTTAGGTTTTAATAATATTCATATGTATTTAGCCTACTTTTTGGAATTGCTAATTACATTATGTCTTTCCTATATTGAAGTATTTAATGCTGGTTTTGGTACTCGAGACGTATTATTTATTCATTATGGTATCTGTGGTCTTCCTTTTGGTATTTTGATAATAATTTGGAATGAAGGACGCAAATACTTGGTATCAAAATAATAATAATACTTTAGATTCGCTATTTTAAATCAAAGTCCTCATATCCAAGTTGGTGGGAAAGATGTGTGACTTATTGAATAATCGATATATATTGTATTTATTAATTTGCATATAAAATCAATTCATTTTTTCTTTTGGAATGGTTCAAAAATATCTGTAATTTTTTCTATAAATAGAGGATTATCTAAGGGCTCTCCATGAAGATAAAATGGATTTCTTTTGATAATTTCTAAATAGTTAGTGTACACCTCCTTAAGAGTTTCTGAATAATCAGTTTAATCAGAAATGTTTGAGAGTAAGATAATTTTCACACCTGAACACATTTCATAAATAGTGAACTTAAAATAATTTGTTAAAAAGTATCTGAAATTAGTAATTGGTTCACTTGAAAAAGCTTAGCTAAATCCTTTTAAACCTTCACTTACACCATATATATTTTGTATTCTATTTTGCTTCAAAAGATCTTGAATCTCTGATTTCGTAGTAACCATTCCTTTGGCGAAATTCCAATAGAACACAAGATTCTTATATCCTTAGAATATAATCAATTCAAACAAGTTGTCTTAATCTAAATATTTTGTATTAAGCATTTAGGTATTTTTAATAAATAAATAATTTTTTTTAATAGTTTCTTCAAAAAATGGGCAATTCAATAAAAATAAATACAATCACAAAAATTTAGACAACCAAATTCAAATTTTAAATTCCTTTGAGATTAGAACAAATGTTAGTATTTTAATTTAATTGATTAATGGCACATTAGAGGCTAACTTAAAGTTTAATAGTTGAAGGTGCCTAATAAGCTGCCCTTAGGTTGAATTTACTTTGATTTTAATTTTGCTCACCACTTCATTTTTTATAATATATTAAATAAATTCTGTAACAAGATTTAAAAAGTTGCCATTTTTTCTGTGCCACTTAGCTACGTACATTTTATTAATAATGCTCTCTTTTTCTAGTAAGTCACCAAAAACACTGTATATGCAAAAACCCATATGACATTTATGAAACTTATTTTAAACTTGATAAACAGTAATCAAAGTTCTCCCTTACTTAGACATTTCAACATAGAGTTCTTATTCATCAAATAATTTGATTGTAACTTAGCCTATTATACGAGAGTTTTGCTTAAACTTTTGTTCTTCTGTCAACTCTCCTATTTAACGTTTCAAATTTTCGATAATTGCAGATCCTCTGCTGTTATAGCTATCAAGAAAACGAGATGATTGCTTCATATGTGATTCTGAAAGGGGTTGAATATTTCGTACACCAGTCCAACTTTAACTAGATCCTGTAACTTTCCACCAATCTAATGTATGTTGCTTGTTCTTTTAGATAATATTGGTATCCTCCTCTGCTTATTTCAATGAATTCAAAATGGAGTGAAAAGAGTCAAATAAATAATACACGTCAGTTTCTTAATTGATCATATCGATTAATGCAGGAATTATTGTAGGTGCAACATCCTTCCCAATTTTATCAATTTGAAATTATTTAGGTATTTATTTAGGTTATGAGGAGTATTACAATTGAAGTGGTTATGAATAGTGCACTTATAAATTATTTTTTCGTACAGAATCATATCTCTTTTATTACATTATTAATATCAATGATTAAATATATTTATATTTTATTAAATCAATTTCATTCATCATAAGTTATATAAAAATACTATAGTAAATTGAAATCTTAAATTATATTGTCATTATCCCAACAAGCTTAGCTATGCCTATATCTACAAAATTATTAAAAATGAATGATGAAAAATAAGAACTTAGCCATAGTTAGCGATATATGTGTCATAAGTGATGAATAAATTTAAAAAATACGAAAGGTGTTATGTTAAGGAAAGTAACAGTGATTATAGCATTTTTAAATTAAAATCACTTATTAAATTCTATAAAAACATTTATAATAGAATTATTAAAAACTAATTTCCAACTCAATAATATATTAAAAAGCTTGAGTTGTAATTTTAAATTTGTGGAGACCTTACAACTGAATAAAGTGAGGTTATGAATTATAAAATAGTGTATCAATAATTAATAGATTAAAATACAGACTGGTAATAGTTATTAAATTTCTTAAAATAAAAAGATTTTTGCTCATAAAATAATATTAATTAAGTGATCACAAATAATTTAGTAATTATTTAAAAACTTAAAGAAAAACTATTTGCCCTTTTAAACCTCAGCCGTTTTACTTAAATCGATGAATATGGATATCATTATTTAGAGATATTTAAAATTTTACTTTGTTTTGTAGAGAGTAATAAGAATCTTGATGAATAAGAAGGCAAACAATTAGAAATGATTATCGGAACTTTATTAGAATAATAAATTTTGTAATTTTTAGAGTTTGAAGAGAATTTAATGGAATCAGAGCAATTTGAAACAACAAAAAAAATTATTACTGCAATATAAACTGAAGGGAAAAAATATATAGAGTTTTCAAAAGAATTATCATCTCTTTTCATTCGATTAGAAGCAGTTCATAAAGCTCTGCACGATTTCGTCAGCAGAAAAATTACTTGAAAATGTTAAGAAATAGATTTCACTTTTATTATATTGCTAGAACTTTAAATGGGAAAAAGAGATGGATAAAAAAAAAATTGATTAACATCTTCTTTAGGATTAAGGATTTGAAAGTGTATATTTTAGCTTAATTTTTTACTTCTTGTAGTAATATTGTTATATAAAATATAATGATTTTAACCAACTGCAAGGGAAATTAAGCAAAGTTAAAATTGATTAAAGATAACGATGGCTAAATACTTTCATCTCAAAAGCAAAATCTAATAATTAGGATTAAATTTATCTTTTCATGATCAACCATACTGTACAATTTTCAATTTAAAAGGAAGAATATTTTTTAAAGGAAAATATATTTAAACTTTTGGAGTTTAATCAACAAAAACAAAATTAAATCTGGCCATTATTACAAAAAAATTATGAAGAAAATTCCCAATTTGATTTTTTTTGCCAATTAAAATTCTTACCTTTGTTTAAATTCAAAAAGATAATTGCCTAATTTAAAAAAATGAGCGTTGCTAAGCCTGAAATACAAAATTCCACAAACCTTAATTAATAATTTACAAATTAATATTTTAACTAACATTCAACAGAATCCCAATTATTTACAATTTATCTTTTATTTTCAAATCCATCAAGAGAATTTACGAATAGCATTAAAAGAGCTCTAGTCTTAACGTTTCTATCTAATGAGAACAGAGATATAAATTTTTATATCAACGAGTTAATAAAACATGAGAAAAATATATTTTATGGAGATGTAGTCTTATTATTAGGATTGTTGGAACAAAAATTTAAAGAATCAATAGCAAGCATTATCAAACTTTACAATATAGATAGCTCTTTTATGCAATTAAAAGCTACGATGATTTTGATGAAATATTTTATGTGTCATTAAAAGTTAGCAAACAAAAAAGAATCATTCTAAATATTTGAGGATTTATTAGAAGAATTAAGTTTAAAAAATGAGAAAGAGATGCTTTCCCTTAAATTGTTATTTGGAAAGGATAGGTTCTAAATCTTATTTGTGGAATTAATAAATTATTACTTAATTTCAGATATCAAAAATAAAAAGAGATGTATGAAAATTCTCAAAAATTTAGTGCCAATTAGCTTAGGAAAATCTGAAGAAAAGATATAAACATTCAAAGCCTTATATTTATGTCTTAGTCCTTGGTTATTGAATTACTTAATCTTATTAAACACAAAGGCAATTATTACATAAAGTATGTTTAAAAGAACATTAATAATTATTTTTACTATTATTAAATAGAAAGAATAGTTTACAAAATTTCTGCTAACTAATTTACACTCCTTAATTAATAAACCTTGCTATCATTTCGATTAGGTTTTGACTGCTAGAGAAAGATAAATTAGTGATAAACTGAATTTCAAACTGAATTTAATTCAATTCTTAAATTCTGGAAACTATCATGAAATGTTGTTGAAAGAATGTGTTTTATTGTATAAAGAGGATCCTGTATTTTATGAGGATAATTTAGGAAAGATAAATTACTTCAATAATATTAAATTACATTCTGCTTATTTTCTTTAGAAGGAAACATTTGAATATTGCCCTTAAAAAGGCTGCTTTTCGCTTGAAGATTTTAACATCTCATTAACCGAAACATCATAAGAATAAGAGAAAATGATTGTTTAAGATTGGTTAGATGATATCAAAGATATTTCAAAATTTAAAAAATTAATTCCTTTTTTTTTTAATATCATTAAGAGGGGAGAATCATCAAAAAAGTTATTATCCATTATCACTTCATATCGACGCAAAGTTTAACAATCAATAAAAATAACTAATAATATGAAGTCCTTATTCTAACTATTTTTCAATAATTCTAATGATGAACTCTAAGTTATGTTGCTTAAACTTTATTCAAGTATGTTTCCAGTTCCATTAATTTTCCAAAATCCATACTTATAACATGCTAAAAGGGAAACCGATTTATATGTTTTTAATGAGAAAATGTATTATGTATTTTAATAATCATTTTCAATAATTAATTTTTCATTAAGCTCAAAATAAACCTAGATAGGAAAAACACAGCTAATTAATGAAATATTTTATAAGTAAGAAAAATTTGAGACATAGGATACATGCCAATTGAACAATAACACAATAGATATTATGTTTGATACACAATTTAATGGGTCTCGAAATTTCTGTGTGGCAGATGCTCATGGATAAATCCCAATAGATATATTAATTAAGATTTTACCTTTATTTCGATTGTGGATTATATAGGTAGATTCATTAAAGGAACTTAAAGATACTTAGGATAAATTAAATGAAATCACTAGAATTGTCCCTACAATAAATCATAAGATTTGTATTATCATCAGAAATCACAAAGAAACTGAAGAAATTATAAAAGAATTTAATAAAATTCAACTTAAATATGAAAGTGACGGAATAAGGATACATAAAATAATCGATCTAGATTAGAAAGGCTTAGATAAATCTATAAGGGAAATGGAATTATAAAATGCCTAAACTTTTATTTTTAAAGAAATTTAATATCGAAATAAAATAACAGCATCCAAAAACGACCAAGAATTTTTAAACGTTATAAAAACATTTGATACAGATTAAAGACTAATATCCAAATAATTTATTGAAGATAGAGCAATTATAAAAGATTTAGAGGAGGAATTAAATAGATTGATTTAAAAGCCTTTTGGATTTTATGATCAAGAAGCATTTCCAATTAGATCAATTGAGTATAAATTAAAAGTTCTTAAAGAAAAATAAAATGAAAGCATTCAACAAATCAATAATTAAGGATAAAATGAAACCCAATCCAAAATTAATCAAAAGAATGTTATGTTATCTAACAATTAATTACTGTAGCAAGATATAAAGAATTAAATTACTGATTTAGAAGTTCAAATCAAGAATGCTTAATTATCAAACATTTTAAAAATATTTTGCAAAATATTTAATTAAAGTTCTTATTATATTCTCTATTTATAATTTACAGATTAAGTTCGAAAGTTTAATGAAATAAACACTTACAAATTGTAGGAAGAAAATTAAGAAATCAATGATTCATTGATGAAGCTAAAAAAAGAAAGAGATATACTGAAGCAAAAAAAGTCTGAACTTAAGAAAGAATCTAGTTTAGTGATATTTGAGGATGAAAAAAATAAAGAATATAAAAAAAAATTCAGATGAACTCAAAGTGAGAACTGAAAAAAAATTTAGAAGATATTGGATTTAGAAATATAGGGATCGAAATGTTTTGGAGAGAACTGATTGCGATAAATCAAAGAAGTAATGCTAACACAATAATTGACCCTACAGATAAGGTTTATGAAATGATTAAGAAAGGTGAACCTTTTGAATTTCTTGACGGGGATTCTCTTTAAATTAATGAAAGATTTTTAGAATCATTAAAAAGCAAATTTACAGGTTTAGGAAATGAGAGGGTTTTGGTATTAAGTGTTTTAGGGCCTTAAAGCTCAGGTAAATCTACAATTTTAAATAAAATATTTGGGTGTCATTTTTGGACCAGCGTTGGCAGATGTACGAAGGGAATTTATTTGAATTTGTTGAAAATATAATTTAAGGAATACTTTCATAATTTATTTGATTATATATTGATACTTGATTCGGAAGGACTACAGAATCCTAATTAGGTTGATCCAGAATTTGATAAAAAGATTGCGCTATTTGTATTGGCTATAAGTGATATAATTTTGATAAATGTTAAAGGAGATATACACCAACAATTTAGAAATTTAGTTGAAATGTGCATTTTTACTTTAGTGAGTTTAAAAACTAATCTCTCTTCAATAAAATAATTAACTTGGTGTTTTAATTAAAATAATGACGCAAACAATTTCGCTCCATTTTTAAACTAAATTCAAGGAATTGCCAGCAGCTTAAACACAGAATATAATGGTGAAGGAGAAGAAAAAAATGCAACTATCGATTATAATGAATTTTTAAATATATCAAAAGAAAATATTTAAATACTAGGATTTGCATGTATAGAAAGGTTATGGAGGTAGAATGAAGGCTTGGGTATTCCTAAAGATTGGAGATAATTAATTATAAATGAAACCTTCTCAGAGGAGGCATACATTTTTGGAATTAGAATGATTAAGAATTTTATTCAAAAGTTTTAATCATAAGCTGCTGATACATCCCAAATGTAAAGTTTAAGTCTATTCATCTAAAATATTAATACTAATTGGTAAAGTATCTGTAATTTACCAGATTTATTGGAATTTGCTGAATTAATGTAATATAAACAGGATTAATAAATGAAAAAGTATTTTGAACAAATTCTATCATCAGAGAAAAATAAATTTAGTTTTCTGGATGAAATAGGAAGAGATATTGTTGATCAAATCCATAACAACCCTGCGAAAAATTTGGCTGAGTTTGATAAAATTTCGAATGATAAGAACTAGGATCTTATAAATAAATTAAATCAGAATGAAAAAGTTATTTAAGAAAAACTCCTTGAATTTAAATAAAACTAGAAAATTTCAAAAAAGATTTACCTTAAATATATGAGACAATTAAACCAGCATATTAATAGCTTAATAAAGACTTCAGAAGTTACATTATTTGAAGAAATAAAAAATAGAGAAACAGAGTATTAAAATAAAAGAGGGTTTAAGTCACTTGATGAATATATTCTTGGTGTTAGCTCTGATCCAAAAAAATTAGCTATCCTCAAAGTAAATGAGGCGTAAATTATTCAAGCATTTAATGCATTATGGGATTAAATTAGAAATGAATAATGGCAAAAATAAGGTGAAATTATAAGAGAATATTCTATCAAGCAATTTCAATGTATATCAACATCATTCAATGAGTACTTATTAAAAACAGAAAATGAGAAAAATTATATTAGTTCCTTTCTTTAAAATATAAACAATAATTCTCCTTTCAGACAAGATTTTGATGAGAGAGGATAAATTTATAATATTTTTGAATAAGAATTAAAAAAATAAAATTAAACCTAATTTCGAACTATTCCTTTATTAAAGGAAAAAATGAGATACGAAAGGATTTTCAATTACAATTTAGAGTAGAGAATGAAAAAGTAGAAGACAAAATATGATGTTATGGATATTAACAATTTTTACTAATTCGAAATAAAAATTGATTTCATTGAAAAAAATTCATTATTTGATTACCTCAAAAGTAAAAATGGAAAAGCTAAGATACTTGAAGATTTGGAATAAATATTTCAAAATGCTGAATAAAATGAAATAAATAAATAAAAACATCACAATTAATAAGGTGATTAGCTTATCTAAAAGGCTTAATATATCATTTCTTAAGTTTAAAATTTATTGTAGTTTTTGGATTTTTTTGATTGCAAATATGACAATTAACTTAAGATAGTAGTAGAAAACACAATAAAAGATAAGGATAAGATTTGGTTTTGGTAAAATTACAATGAAATTGTGATCAAATCTGTTAAATAATTGTTAGCTTCAGTTTAGACTATTGCAAATAAAAATGTATAATCCTTAATGAACTCCAAAATTAACTTTGTGAAACATTTATAGGAAAGTAACTAAGGTTTAAATTTGAAATCCGTTGAAAGGATATGCCGAATAGAAAAAGAGGTAGAAGAATTTATTTCCAATTTTTAACATCTCATAATAAATATTGAAAAAAAAATAATTCCCTAACAAAAATACAAAATGTTAGAAGACAGCTTATAATATATTTAAAAGAAGGGTGCTTATGATTAGCATTTTAAATAATATTTTGTTCATGATTTTTAAAAAATTATGTTTGAAGAAAATTAATTAAATTTGTAAAAAGAGAATTGCCAAAGGAATGGGTTTTCAAAATTTTAGCATTTAAATAGCTGGCAGATGATGTATTTTTCAATTTATGAATTAATAAAATCCGAAATGAGAAAACCTCATTAAAAAGTAAAAAATAAAAAAGAAGATAGTGATAGCGAAGAAATTGCTGAATAAAACATCAGCTTGATTAAGTACATTATGTCAAAAATTGAACTGGAAATTAATGAATATAATAATTCTTTAGCTAATTTTGGGATTATACTAACTGGAATTGGAGAAAGATGTATATATTATTATTCAATGTTAATAATTTGGAGATTCACCTGCTATAAAAAATGTAAAGGGGTTGAAGATAGTAAATAAAAGTTTGAGGAACTTAAAAAAAATTAATTATAGAAATTTATTGCTGACATCAAATAAAACAAAACTGAATAAAGTTAATTAAAAGCATAGGTTTTTATTAGAAATTATTATAAACGATTAATCCCTAGCCCATAGGGGCCTCTCCCTGCTAGA